TTGTCAAATTAGACAGGTTTATGTTAGTATTACTTCACTATTCTTTCACACTGTGACAAAATGTCTCTTGACAAATTTGATAAATAAATTACAGTATTTCACTGTTGAACATATAAGAATGTTGTGAATTAAATACTGGTACTGATTTAAAGAAATTATTTTGAATTTTAAGATCATGATGGCATTAGAGGAAGATGAATTTGCAAAGAAGAATCGGCTGACTTACAAATTGGAGCAGGTTCGACATGCAATGGATTCTGAACTGTACTGCTAGAGGAGTTGAGCTGCTTGTTGATACCTACTGGTTGACAAATTGTGGGGAGTTGATCAACTGATGGACAAGATAAACCTGCAGTTGGACTGAGAACTTCTGATTTACGGCTGAGACTTGCCATGACTCTTAGTTGTCTTGTGTTTGCTTTTTGTTTCATATTGATTTATTCTTTTACTTTAACAGCTGTGTGCCATATTTCAAGAAAACGAAAACAATTTTTAACATAACCAATGACAATACTGCTGTTAGTGCATTGTTAGCTGATTTCTATGTCGTTTTTAGGTAGTTTTATCCTCGTGTATTTTGATATGATATTTTACAAAGCTTTAATTGTGCTCTATATTTAGATCTGACTCTCAGAGAATCCCCAGGTTAGTTAAGCCAATGAAAACATCACAATGCCAACATTGACTGTCTATGCAGCACATGCTGTTTGCTTTTGCTATTTTAGATGTGTATATTTGTGCCAAAGTACATATGAATATTAGATAATCATTTTTTTCATCCTCATAAATTCATTTTATATTGATAGTGTGATATAATATTGCTCATTTTGTACATAGAAACAATGTTTTTAAAATCCTCTCCACAGACATAACTATCAAGTGTTTTTATGGTTACAATTTTTACTTCATAATGCTCAAACAAGACTTGATTAGGACAAACAGTCCTTTCCTTTCTATATCACAGTAGGTTGTAAGAGGTAGTTTTCATTCCCAGCATTGGTAATTCTTAACAGATTACTTCTTTTAAAGGCATTTTTATCACTAGGTCACCTGGTCACAAGGCTCGACAGAGCTTTTCATATCAAAGTTTATCTCAGTCAGTTGTTTCCCTTGTCTCTGTTAAAAGTAACATAAAATTGTGTCTTATGTGTGTTTTTTTTTTAATGAAGAGGAGATAAATAGGGTAGAGTTTCATGAATTTGAAGACACCTTTTCAAGCTAAGACTTTGAACTTGTCAAGACTGTCATATGAAAAAAAATATCAGATGAGCATTATGACCCTTTTTATTATAATTTTATCATATATTTTGTGATAAATCATTTGTTGTATAGCTAATTATAACAGGTAAATAAGTGAAGGTATTCTAGTTATCATGTATAAATACTAAGGAGACTTAAAACTAGTACGGAGGATGGAGAACTCTGTGTATAAAATGGCCCTGTCTATTGATAATCAACTCATTTTGTACCATTTATCAACTGTAAAATCTGATCTCCATCTTCAAACAATAAAGTAGAGACTTCATGCTTCCATTTACTATAAAATTTAATACTGATGAATGTACATGTAAGTTGTATACATGTACTGTATATTGAACAGACTATGAAAACGACTAGTTTTGGCTTGTACAGGAAGATATAATTATATGTAAGACCATTCTATTAAAAAAAAAAAACCAAGGTATTAGAATAATTAATCCAAATAAGCTTTTGAAATGGCATTATAGGAATTTATTTGGTCGTGCTAATTTGGGATCATAGGTTGCACTCATTTTGATATATTGAAAAGCGTACATTTATATTGGTCATTCTGATAGAAATATCTTAGAAAGGGGAAGAATGATGCAACTCATTATGTTTTGTGGGGGGAAAAATTACATTGTGAAGAGATCTGGTCACCATATATATATTTTTTTTTTGTTTACTTTGATCATACATGTAAATGTCTGTACAAGGGAAAGAAATAGGGTGTTTTCTCTCCCTCCCCTTTTTAAAAACATTTTACCCTTTTTACCCACAGACACAGTCTTTAATATGGACTCATTCTTTAGATTAAAAAAAAGATGGCAAAATGAATGAAAAAGTCTACAGTAAATGTATATCATCACAAATTTATATATTCTAGTCTAAATTTACATTTGCTGCTCTATTGTTTAAAAGACACACACGGGTTAAAACAAAACATCATAGCACTGTAATATTTTTAAAACTTTATATGGATATTTTTTTCCACAAGGACCACTCCTTTTCAAATTTGATATGTTTGAAATTTTCAGAAATTTTACGGGCCAAATGAGGCCAGGGGAGCATTGCTCTTTATTTAGTAATGTCTTGTGCGTGTATGTTCTTTTTCTGGCTATTGAGTAAATTAAATGTTTGTATATGAAACTTTTTAAAAATTGAAATGAAAGAAATGGCAGCTCAAGATATTTCTGTTTGGTAATTAAAATGTTTCTTTTTATATTTTGTATGTGAAACATAATTTAAGTAATGTATACATGTGCAGATAAATCATTAATTGAATTTTTTTTTAAATTTAAGGCTAAATATGTTTTAATTAAAAATTGTCCTGTTATTGCAATCATTTCATACGATCATGATATAAACACATACATGTATTTGAAGTCTGCACAGATTGGGTTATTTTTTGTGTTTACATTTGAATAAACATTGTGTCAAAGTTTAATATTACTTAATAGGCCTATAGTTATTTATACAAGATTTAGCCAAACATGAACATTTCATGCATGAATTGGTAGAGCTTACATTTGTCATGAAGTTACGAAGTATTATTATGGAGAGAGTCCCATTGTTTTTTATTGTGAGGTATAACCAGGGACCAGGCTTGTACCTCCCCCTCCTGTCTGTGTATGTCAGTGATCACACCCATTACAACACAGACCTGAATGTTTTTGATAAGGAGGTGAATTTGTCAAAGGTGCTGTGCACTTGTAGGTTGTACTTTACTAGATTTTTACCTTTTTACTAGTGCATGTAGTTCTACATATTATATTAAATAAAAAAAAAATGATACAAAGCTTGAACAGTGTTTTTTCTGTCTTTTCTGGGGCAACAGCTCAAAGAGCTAATGCTGTGGTCATTTGTGTGACGTGCATCATTTTATTGGAATATTGGCTATATCTCATAAACCAGTAAATTTTTGACAAATACCTGACATCAAGGCTTTCATTTGTGCTATAACTATAATTATAAATATTGAGATTATCAACTCTTGTCAGTTATACAGTTATACATCTGGCCATTTTTTTTGGCAGAGGCATGAAACTTTTTATCACACACCTGATTTTGAGATATAATGTCTAGGGCTGGGCAAAAATATCAATATTTCGGTATATTGCAATACAATGACAAAAAATATCGAATGCAGTACGTTTTTGTAATATTGATATTCCAGCAAAATACTTCTAAGGAATTTAATCATAAATATAAAAGTAAATGTAAGAAAGACTTTTTATGAAGCCAAAAAGTACAACAGAAGCTACTTTATGGGTGTATTTCAGAGCATAACATAAAAAAAAATCAAGATTTTTTTTCTTTTGGTTACATAGTTATGTACATTCTGCATATAAATGAAAGGAAATATAATAAGAAAATGCTATTTTATTTTCGTTATATTGAAATACATATCGCAATACAGTTAAAAATATCGCAATACAAAATTTATATGGCCAATACCCAGCCCTAACAATGTCTCCCATGAGTATATTATCTTTCGTGGTCTGAGTGGCCTTTAGAAATGTACCATTGGTTTTTGAATCAGTTTGTTTCGTGAGTGCATCTTAGAATCACCAAGTCATTGATCTGTACACTTGAGGCAATCTGATCTTCTATCGATTGCCGAAAGACTTATATAGCTTGAAAGCGTGTGCCTAAGTGACGACGAAATCAATGAGTAGAAGGTTGAGGGAGATAACTTGAACAATTATTATAGTGATATTAAGTTTAAAATCCAAATAAAAAACTTTGAAAGCTGCAGTGAATTATTAGTTGTTTGCTAAATGAGATGAGACGGGATGCATGGCACTGCACAAGTAACAGTAGCTGCAGAACTGTAGTTCTCAGCTTGAGAAAATTCGAACAGATCAAGTTTCTTCAGCAGAGACACTTCTGTAGTTAAGCAACAGTATGATAGTAGATTTATACATGATAGCTCTTTATCATGAAAATGTTTTAAATAGAAGAAATCCTCTTCCAGGGATTAAATTTGTAGAATTTACAATAAGTGAAAGAAAATTTTGATTGATAAAATAAAACGACTGTTCTCTGATTTTAAGGGATTCCAATTAGTTAGTGTCTGCACTATCACTAATAAAGTCAGAAAACTTTACAGTCTATGATTGTATGAACTGTTAACTTTTAATCCAATGACTATGAAATCCAGTGACTATAATTAAGACTCCTGTCTCGGGAGTAAAAGAATTTGACAGAAGTGAGAACTGTAAGGAGGGATCATAACAGATCCTTTATGCTAAAGATAGAGGAGTGTTTCACCTGGAATTACCCCCCCCCCCCCCATTTTTCCGTGTACTGTTTGCTTGAATTATATTGGCAATGCATCAAATTCTTTCGATATAATTCATTTAGACATAATATGACTTAATTTTTATTTACTTGGCCGAGCGAAATACATGAACCCTATAGAACACCATAAGAAATAGGTAAAGATAACATTATCTTAACTTATCTATGAACAAATAATTTTAAAATTTAGAAATAAAACAAAAACTCCGTAAAAGAGTAAAATGCAAATAACGACAAGGCCAATTATGTTATATATATGAATCTCCACTTAACTTTTCTGACTGTTATCAATATAAGGAGGCAACCAAAATTCAACTGATTTTCTCTCAACACAGAAGAGACGTCCGAAAACCAATGGAAAAAGGATATTCAATATATGTACCGACCAATTCCTGGCAGAGGCATGAAACTTTTTATCACACACCTGATTTTGAGTTTACAGTATGTTTTGTGCCTGATATTGATAAACAAAAGAACGATTTTGAGATACAGTCTCCAATTTGAGCATAAATTCCTTTGAGGTTTGAGTGGCCATTACAAATATTAGTATACCATTGGTTTGTGAATCAGTTTGTTTCGTGAGTGCATCTCATGGATCAGCAAGTTATTGACCTGTGCACTTGAGGCTATCTGATCCTTTACCGATTGCCGAAAGACTTATATAGTATAAAGTCTGTACCTAGGTGACGACGACTGAGAATTTGCATAAAATCATTGAGTAAAAGGTTAGGGGAGATAACTTGAACATTTATTATAGTAATATAAGGTTTAAAATAAAAAAAAAACCGTTGAAAGCTGCAGTGAATTATTAGTCGTTTGTTAAATGGGATGAGAGGGGTGCATGACACTGGCAGCTGCAGCACTTGAGAAAAGTAACAGATCAAGTTTCTCCAGCAGAGAGCTACAAGTCTAAGTAACAGTATGATAGTAAATTTATACATGTTAGCTCTTTATCATGAAAATGTTTTAAATAGAAGAAATCCTCCTCTTTCAGGGATTAAATTTTTAGAATTTACAATAAGTGAAAGAAAATTTTGATTGATGAAATAAAACGACTGTTCTCTGATTTTAAGGGATTCCAATTATTTAGTGTCTGCACTATCACTAATAGAGTCAGAAAACTTTACAGTCTATGATTGTATGAACTGTTAATTTTTAATCCAATGACTATGAAATCCAGTGACTATGAGACTCCTGTCTCGGGAGTAAAAGAATATGACAGAAGTGAGAACTGTAAGGAGGGATCATAACAGATCTATTATGCTAAAGATACACTGTAGGGGTGTGTTTCAGCAAATCATTTTAGTATTGAATTTTATTGGCAATGCATCAAATTCTTTCGATATAATATATACTTAGACATAATATGATACTTAGACATAATATGATACTTAGACATAATATGACTTAGTTTTTATTTACTTGGCCGAGCAAAATACATGTACATGAAACCTATAACACCATAAGAAATAGATAAAAAATAACACGATCTTAAATTATTTATGTATAAATAATTTAAAATCTATAAATAAAATAAAATTTAAACTCTTTAAATGAGTGAAATGCAAATAACGACAAGGCCAATTATGTTATGTACTATCATTCCAATAACAGCGTGTCACTTTGCTTGGTCGAGCGTGGTATAGTTTCACATATTGATTACCATAATTGTTTGAATTTCATTAAATGAAATCAAATACTTTTGAAATATGAATATAATACCACTTACATTACTGACAAATCGTATTGAATGCAGTAAACGATAGTCACATGTGGATAGGCAAAGCAAGTTTTTATCCTCATAATAATGGAATTGATCGCTTTATACAATATAATATATATTATAATAGTTTCAAAGTATAGCCTTACTTATTTCATGCTTTAAATATGTATACGTATAAAAATTTATCAAATCACAAAAACTTTAACGTGCTTTTAAAATTTATGACCACGTGTTATCGGTGACTACAAATGCCGCGCTGGAAAACGGCCATTCCATACAATTGGTCAGTGTTATCGGGTATTGTTGGATTCTGTTTTTTATATACAAAGTAGTATTGATTTCATTCAAATCAAACATCCAAATGAATGATATGGTAATCAAGGATCAAGCAAAGTGACACGCTGTTTTGGGAATGATAGTATATGAATCTCCACCTAACTTTTCTGACTGTTATCAATATAAGGAGGCAAACCAAAATTCAACTGATTTTCTCTCAGCACAGTGGAGACGTCCGAAAACCAATGGAAAGGGATATTCATTATGTGTTCCGACCATTTAATTTCCTGGCAGAGGCATGAAACTTTTTATCACACACATGATTTTGAGTTTACAATTATATAATGTTTTGTGCCTTATATTGATAAATAAAAGAGATACAGTGTCTCCATTGAGCATAGTTTCCTTTGAGGTTTGTGTGGCCAATACAATTACTAGTATATACCGTTGGTTTGTGAATCAGTATGTTTCGTGAGTGCATCTCATGGATCAGCAAGTTACTGACCTTTACACTCAAGGCTATCTGATCTTTAATCGATTGCCGAAAGACTTATATAGTATAAAGTCTGTACCTAGGTGACGACGACTGAGAATTTGCATAAAATCATTGAGTAAAAGGTTAGGGGGAGATAACTTGAACATTTATTATAGTAATATTAGGTTTAAAATTAAAAAAAAACGTTGAAAGCTGCAGTGAATTATTAGTTGTTTGCTAAATGAGATGAGAGGGGGTGCATGGCACTGCACAAGTAACAGTAGCTGCAGAACTGTAGCTTTCAGCTTGAGAAAATTCGAACAGATTAAGTTTCTCCAGCAGAGAGCTACACTTCTGTAGTTAAGCAACAGTATGATAGTAGATTTATACATGTTAGCCCTTTATCATGAACATGCTTCAAATAGAAGAAATCCTCTTTCAAGGATTTTTGAATTTGCAGAATTTATAATAGGTGGAAAAAATTGATTGATAAAATAAAACGACTGTTCTCAGATTTCAGAGGATTCCAGTGTTTGGGGACTGCACGATCACTGATAAAGTATGAAAACTTTACAGTCCATGATTGTATGAACTGTTAATGTTTATTACAATGACTATTATGGCACGCCAAATTCACAAAAATGAGATAAACCTAGTTTCACAATTGATAAACTAAGTTTATCAACTGTAAACTATAGTTTACAAACCGTAAACTATAGTTAATGATTCGTTAAGTATAGTTAACGATTCGTTAAGTATAGTTTTATTAAAACTATATTTAACGGTCGTTAACTATAGTTTACGATGCTAATCTAAGTTTATCTGTCTGAATAAAGCGTTAACAATAGATTTTGTTGATAAACATAGATTCACGTTTGTAAACTATAGTTTACAATCGTAAACTATAGTTAAGAGGTGTTAATCATAGTTTCACAAATCGTGAAACTATATTTATCAGATCGTTAACTATAGTTAACGGTTTGTAAACTATAGTTTACAAATCGTGAAACTGTATTCATCAGATAATCTATGTTTTGCGATCGCAAATATATGTTAAGTATAGTTTACGGTTGTGAAACATAGATTATCGCGTTAACTATGGTTTACAGATGTAAAATATAGATTAACGTTGTTCTATAGTTTACATCCGTAAACAGTTTACAACCGATAAACCTAGTTTATCGACTGTGAAACTATGTTTTGCTAATTTTCGTGGATTTGGCGTGCCATAGACTATATAAGAGAGACAGGAGTGAAATGAAAACTATGAGAAGGGATTATATAGCAGGTCCTTTATGCCACAGAATGATGTAGGTTTGTTGACCTGGAATTCAGTTTTAGCATTGTCAACTACAGTTAAATAAAACGTTGTATTTTATGAGTTACTGCTAATTCTATCCTTTACAGGATCGTGTTATACTTGGGTGACCGTTAATTGGGCATGCTCATGGCTGTATATTCTATATTTTGCTGATTTTCATCCTTTGGTTTTTAAAGATGTCCAGTGAGTCAGCAGGACCGTGGTAAGTTTTCGCCAGCGGACTGAGGTAGTTTTACGTCTTTATTTACGGGAGCGAGGAAAGATAGAATCTTCCTTCTAGCTATAGCTGTGGCTTCTAAAGAAACCAATATATTAAAGTTAGATTTGATATGATTGAAGTATTTTGTAAGATGGAGAAGTTTGTGTCGATAGTATTTTTCGGTGTCTGTGCAGCGACGCCTTTATGTTTAGTGGGGAGGGAGTACATGGTTGAGAACTGCGTCAGATATAGGTGTATCTTCGGACAAGCCGTACCAGAACCATGCCCGCTGGGTCTATTTCCTACTTATAAAGGGGTAACAGGATGTAGTTGGTCGAGAGAATCGGAATGTAGTACCATTCCCGAGACAGGAAAAAGTAAGAGATTGATATTGTTATACACTATAAGATGACCAGAGATTTTATCTTGCGGACCGTATTTAATTAACACCAGTATTTCTTGTTTATAGTTATTGATCCCTGCAGTGGTAGCCCATGTAAAAACGGGGGTAGATGTCTCCCCTCCTCTAATGGTCAGTCTTATCTCTGCTCCTGTCCTCCTGGATATCAGGGACCAAGATGTCAAATCGGTAAGGATTAAAAAATGTATAAATATAGAATCTGAAATTCTTTGGCGTGTGTTGTCGCATTTTTAAAAAAAATGTTGTTTTTCATAAAAATCTGAAAGATGAAAACGAATGCATGAGCAGACCTTGTCTGAACGGCGGGATTTGTTTGGATGGTAGGAATGGCTTCAAATGCCAATGTTCTCCAGGGCCTGGAGGCGTTCTCTACACAGGACGACATTGTGAAACTGAAGTAGCCAAACGTGAGTTGAAACTTTTTCTTCAAAGTTCAGTTTGCTTGTATTTTTTAAGAAATAAGTTAACATTCCTGACAGTTTTGTGATAATCTCCGCAACTCAACAGAATTGCAAGATGAAATAAACTAAATAAATATTTGATTTTAATTCTACAAGTGGTAATCCAACTTATACTCATAGTTCCGTTTCTAAGGAAGAAATTCATCAAAATCACATATCATATGTCAGTTCTGAATATTTTTAATATTCCAAACAACCAAAATGAATTTGAATTACCATATCTATACTGGATTCCGAAACTTCATAAAAATCCTTACAAATAAAGACACATAGCAGGTTCCAGTAAATGTTGAACCAAGCCTTTTTTTTTTTTACTCCTCACTAACGGCAATGAAGGAGAAACTTCAAGAGTACACGTACTGTGCAACAATATATTCGAGAAAAGGTGTAAATCTCATTAAATCAGATGTGGATATACTTAAAAATTCCAGAGACATTTTGGAAAATCACAAGAATTTACCAAAATCAACAGCTTTAAAAAAACTTAAGACTTTTCAACTTTTTACACAACCATTTCCCACGACAAATTATAGTCCAGGCTTTTTGATATCATTGACTGCTGCTTTTTCAATAAAAATGGAACTCGTAAATTCACTTACCTTTTCATTTGTCATGTGCAAAATTATATTATTTAAACTTATTCTGATTGTAACACAAGTACCCGGAAGTTGACATCAAAGACATGCTTGAATTTCTGATTGACAATATCTAGTATGTGGTTTTTGGAGACCAGGTCTTCGAACAATCTACTGGAATTCCCATGGGTACCAATTGCGCCCGTTCAATATTAGCAGACCTATATTGGAATTCATATGATGCAGAATTTATCAAAAATCTTGCACGTCAAAAGAAGAAAACCTTCTTCTGGCCTTCAACTCGACATTTAGATATAGCGGCGATGTATTCTCGTCCCGGTGATCTTTGAAATAAAAATTTGACGTGGCATCCTCCTTCACTGTGGCGAGGGATCGTACCAAGACACAGTTAGATTATTCTAACTAGGTCTAGTGAGTATCCTCATAAAGACTCTTTATTGACCCATCTGCTTTAAAAATAAGGTTTAGAGAAGAGATAACTTGTGTTCTTGATAAAGGGAGAAAGAGTCAGAAATCTCATGATTGGAAACGCAGCCAACGTTCGTCTGATATTCAGTGACGAGAAAAAGGGTCACCAAGAGCAAAGAAAACAGTGCTTTTGTTGAACGGAGAGACAGCTTTCTTGAACACGGAAATGGGAATCAGTTTCACCCCCCCCTCCCCACCGCACTATCGAAAAAAGTTTCATAAATGTCTTGAAGTTTTTAGTAGTATTATGTACCATTTCTGTATTATTTATTTTTCTTTAATTAGTGGAAGATGTTTGTACTCCCAATCCCTGTCATAACGAGGGTTACTGTTCTGGGACAGTAGGGAGCTCATTTATCTGTTACTGTCGACCAAAGTTCAGTGGACCCTTGTGTAACGAAACAATGAGTAAGTGAAAAACTTCACATCATATTTACAACATGAACCTGTTTATCTCTACCCTCTGACACTGATCACAGATACGTGCAATAAAATTGTTTTGGTTGGTCTCAGTGTTAACAGTGTTTCACAGCAATGAGTAATCTAAGAATGGCAATATAAAGATATTATAAAAGTGTAACGAAACAATGAGTAAGTGAAAAACTTCACATCATATTTACAACATGAACCTGTTTATCTCTACCCTCTGACACTGATCACAGATACGTGCAATAAAATTGTTTTGGTTGGTCTCAGTGTTAACAGTGTTTCACAGCAATGAGTAATCTAAGAATGGCAATATAAAGATATTATAAAAGTTTTTTTTTACTGTAGGTATAGGCAATCCCTGCTCCAGCAGACCTTGTTTGAACTCTGGAATCTGTAGCAGTGTGCAAACAACACAATTCAAATGTTTCTGCTTACCGGGCTACACAGGGAAACAGTGTGATCAAACGCAAGGTTTTGTACATATCATATTATCTTAAACGCCCCATACGTACTACTATAATTTAGATTTAGAAATTTTCTGCATTCAGTTTAGAAGCTTTAACATCTATAAGTATATTTACCAGATCCCTGCTCTTTAAAGCCCTGTATGAATGGTGGCATCTGTTTTCAAACCACTGAAGCTAATGCGTTTAGATGTGCGTGTCCGGAAAATTTCACAGGCCGTCTGTGTGAAACAGGTAAAAATCGTCAAATCGAAATATGAATTTATTTTGAAAGCTTTTTTGATTCATACGTCGTTTCATTTGCCACTATCTTTCCTTTTATAGCTATGTTGATGCATCCGTGCAGGAACTCCCCGTGTAAGAATGGCGGTTATTGTACGGAGTTTGGCGCCACCTACCGGTGTTACTGTAGGTCCGGGTATACGGGATCGGACTGTACTCTCGGTGAGTCTCCCCAGATCTTCTGACTCGAATAAATTAAATCATCGTGCAACCTTTGAAGCCTTTGATTTGATTCTGTATTTTCCTGATTTGTCAGTGACGTCAGCCATCATTTCAAGTCAGTGTGACAAAGGGAAGAGCTTGCTGCTATCTCATCCATCTTATTGTCAGCTCTACTATAACTGCAGCGCGCCGTCTGGCAACATTCCCGCCAGACCAGAGGAAAAGTTTTTAGACGAGTGTCCTTATCCTCAACTTTTCTCCACCACAAGCGGAACATGTGAACCCTTTTACAGGGTAGACTGTGGCAGGCGCCAAATTCTGTTGGATTTCTGTACGTTCAGTCATATCTTTTATGTATTCATAATTTTTTTTTTTACTAATTTCTGTGTCTTGAAGCTAAAGATAAAGTTTTTTTGTTTTATTCATAGGTGACTATTGGAAACAAAAATGCCTGAGTGTTTGTAAGTCTTGCTCTATTGACCACCCAACTTGTGTAGATATGGCGGACGGGATCCACCGTAACCCCATGAAACCAAACAGCCCATATTACATGGCGTGCTACCAGAACAGAACTGTGTACGTCTCCCAGTGTCAGAAAGACAGGTTTGGGAAACAAATGATTTTCCATGAAAACAAATGTACAAGTGCTTTTGACATTGCCAAAGCCGAGGGAGGGCGAAGACCAGAATGTACGGGTAGTGATACTGGAATATATTCTGACCCGGGGGGAGACTGTCGGTTATATTACATGTGTCAGGGAGGGCTGGCCAGGGTAATGCAGTGTTCTGACGGGACGATATTCCACTACCAGCCTGGTAAACCCCTGTGCCAGGATCCAAAAGACGTATGTCAACCATGTGGAACAAAAGCATGGTATGTTTAACTATTACTCTATTAGTTCTTTTTATTACTGTAATTGAGAAGTCAAAGTACCGGATGAGGTAAAAATAACTCAACTCACCAGAGCCATTGACTCGAGGGATGGTTTCTGATCAAAGAGTGCCTGACATCTGTCTGTAGTCTTACTCATCCTATTTTCAACGTCTTTTTCAGGTGTGAAAATCCTAAAAGTATGGGGGAGGGGGAGGTCATGAAGAACAGTTAATTTTAAAAAAAAAAAAGCTTTGGCAAGATATATCTTGAACAGAATCACAAGTTTTCTTCTTAAGTGTTCAACCCATCTTTGCAGCTAGGTATCCTTTGTAGTTGTTTCCTCTCTACCTTGATATAGGTACATCATACACCAATAGCGATAACAGCTAGCGACGTATTATCTCGTGTTACTAGATCTGTGCTTTATATATGCAGTCCACCTACCATATGTCCTCTGTTTCAGTCAGGTCTCTCTGACACTGCAGGTTGGTATTGCCCTTCCGAATCTGCGTCCACTTTTCCTTTCCTTCAAACTTCGAGACTTATTTTGTTTCACTTTCATTCTTGTCCAACTGCTGACAGAATTCAGTTCATGAAGTGTTTGCTTGGCTGCAATAACTGACTTAATGATTGTCATGTCGTCTATGAAAGCTATACGAGGCGGTAAGCCCATTACTGGCTTCACCAATGGCCCTCTGCTCTTCTCCGACGAAAATCATGTTCAATGCAACAAAAACAGGACAACTGATACTTGCATCCTGTGCCAACTTTTAAGCATTGCCACATCGTTGTAAAATCTTTTACAATAAATTTAGGCATCTCTCAAGTGTCGGCTCAATAATAAGTTGGTGTCATGCACAGTTTCATTCACATTTGTTTAGTCTAATTATATACGCTCCATTCTAAATTTGTTGCATGATCCCGGCGGGACCTGGTCTTCAAGTAAGCGAGGGAAGACCAGCAATATCACAGTTACGAAAGCTTGATTATCAGGGGCATAGCCGTAAATATAGTATTGCATTGAAAATTGCTAATTTAAATATACAATTACCTTAAATTACATCAAGCACGAGTAAAATAAGGCATGATATCCCGAATTCATGAATTTGCACCGTATTCTGCATGTTCACTGTGAATTGTGTATCAGTGTCCCGGAAAACCATGAAATTGTTATCTTGAAGATTTAAAGACACCCCTTCTGGTTTTTTTTTCAAATTTCTTTTTTTAGCGTAAAAACAAATGAGGAAAAAGTTGTCAAACTTTTTTTTTGAAAATGTTACTTGTGAAAATGCGGACTGTCTTATACTTAGTTCGTAAAAATGTTATATTATTAATATTTTACGTATGTTTATATTTTAGTGATACAAGACAGTCCTAGGCGACAGAGTAATCCCAGATGCCACAGAAAAGAACAAATATATTTTTATAATTGTGTACCACTGAATGGACACTACAAGAACTGAATTCAGTTCCATATATGATGTTAACTTTATTTCCAAAATAAAAGTTAAATATTTTCGTAGAGTGACTGTGTTGACCAATGGTTCGTCGTATTCGAATAATGGGTTGGATGGGGTCCTGATATTTAAATTATGGCATATTATGTAACAATTACTTCTTGACCACAATTTGACCTTTCGTGTAAAACAGGCCATCAACTGACGATGCTTAAGAGAAAGTTTTTTCTGTAGTTAAATAAAATTAGGATCATTATGTCTGTGTGCCACGATGATTTTTCGGACCGCGTTATAACCCCCGCCATGCCACCATGCCTCGCCTTCACCTGCTGCGCCATGAACTTCATATTTCCGGGCTCCGGTAAGTCTTACATCCACCCCTTGTGTCCAGGCAAATATCCACCCCCGAGTTTATCATTCAACTATAGCATTGATTCCAGCTGACAGAAAAAAGTCTGCAACTTTCTTTATGATTGCAACTGACGTGTCCGTTTTGGGTGAGATGGTAAAAAAAAAATGTGATAAAAATACCTTACAGGGTCTATTTTTTGCTTTTATTATAGTGTTCAAAAAATTGCTAGGTGCAACACCCTCATCCCTCGACGAATCGCTTATATCCATCTTTCCCATATGTTTTCATGTTTAACTTTCTGTTGTTTGGAACAGGAACTATTGTGTCGGGGTTTGCTGCCTTTTGCTGCTCCATGAACACGGACATGAATACAGGTGACCGATTGACCACGTGTTTATGTAACCTGTCCATAGGTGTACTACAACTAGTCCTGAGTGGCTTTATATTAGTGGGCTGGTGTTGGAGCTGTGTTTGGGGACTCCATTACGTAGACATGTCCAGTAAGCATTATTTAACATAACTTCAAAGCTGTTCAAGTCTGTTTAAAACGTTTTGCTTTGCAATGTTGTTTAGCCAGCCCCTGAGGGGAAAATGACAAATGGAGTGGACTGGAAAATGACAGTTATATGATTGCTATTTACAGAGAAACATTATCCTGAGGAGTGGGGACTAGAACAGACGAGGGATGTCTGGACATCACAGCCGTTATCAATTGACCCATTATCGCATGGTCAGTTTGACCATCAGCAGAGCCATCCAGTATCGCCCCCTCCGTACACACCTCGCTTTGATCCGCCACCGCCGTACGATGCCATTGACGATCAGCCAAGATTATTTTCAATATCTGGATCTTGATTTGAATTTTTAAAGTTTTTTGCAAGATCAGATAGTGCTGCATATAGCCAAAATTTATTCACATGTCAAGATCATGTGTATGTCATAAGTAAATACGATTGCTTGTTTAAATTCAAAGGTGACTATATACTAGTAATGGTATACCTTGCATATTCATCATTTTAATCTAACATCAATGAAAGTTGGAATGTTTCTCAATTAAAGCCCCATTCTACACTAAATCAATGTGTTTTTTGGACATTGAGTCAAATATATTGTACGAGGTGTAAAAACTGAGCTTATATGTATCATTCAACATAGAGTACCAGTATCTGGGCTTTACCCCCCCCCCCCCCTCCCTTTCCTTGGGAAAAATGTTCAAAGAACAGAAATCACTGTTGTTTACAGAAATTGGGAACCTGCAAATAAATTTTTGTTTATATGTATTCATCTATCAAAATTTTAAGAATGCATGCTTGAATTGATTAAAAATTGATTTATAAACTATTTTAGTTTAGATCCAACAACAGATTAATCTAATTGCTAAACAAATAGCACATTATCAGAACTTTTAGTGTGCAGTATAATAAATAGAACATGGGAAAGGCATGAAGCTGCATCCAACTGCATTTATAAATACACATGTATTGTATGACATGTACATGCTAATAAAAAGATGACATATGTCTCTGTTAATTTCTTTCTGCAGATTCTCAGCAAATTCTCAAGGTATCAAACTTAAATTTGACCTAATTCTAAGAGAAGTGGCTCTATGGGAAAAAAAATTACGACAGAAACTTGAGAAAGGAAGACAGTGAAGATCATTTAGATTAGACATAGTTTTATTGTAATCTATCAATAATCAATATAACTACAATAAACAGATGTAAAATACAAAGAAACAAAAAGCATTGTAAAGACATATTACATGCACATCATGTAAATTTTAACACAATTACTGTATACAAGGTCAATTTGCCTTATATTATTTTTGCCCTTATTCCAAACAATTATGCCCCACTTTAAATTCACTCAAAGTTTTGCTGAAGACATTATTATTGTCTTTTGTCCATTTGAAATTGTCTTTTTTTCATTTTAAATTTGCCAACTAAAATGCAGCAAGGGTAGACAGGTCAAAAATAAAACAGGAGCGAAATTTGTCCTGTATACAGCAACCTTAGGAGCTGGAACCAGGAATGGGGCATCACAGGGCTCAATATTTATCTCTATAGAATTGAAACATGCACTAGAAAATAATATGTCAATGCCTGAAATATTAAAAACAAAAATTCAATGCATTATAAATTCTACATATAATTCATCATTTATTCAACATCACTTGAATTTTCACAAAGTATCTCTAAATGCTCTATTCTGAATTTGGCTTTAGCTGTTGATTTTGGTCAATTTATGAAATAATGTATGACTTAATTATGATTGGTTCAATTAAAATAATTACATGAGTTACCAATTTATGCTCAAATATATGAAATAATATACATATACATGAATGGGACATATTTTTTATGCCAGTGATATACTTTTAGTATATAAATGTGACTATCCGGTGACAAAATGAAGGGTGCATCAATTCTAAATGATCAACAGCTGCGTGTACATGTAACAAACATTGATTTTATATTTCATAAACTGTACATGTACGAGTATATTGCATTTACAACTACAAAGTCTGACTCGACAAGAAATTTCTACGATTTCAACACCTGGTAAAGAATATTTCATATGTGCAGAATCTACAAGGTTAGGCAAAGGATATTATTTTTTGCTTGATACTCAAATGCCTGCTAAGATTTCTTTAAAATAAAAAAAAAAAGTATAAAATATGATGTATACTATAAACATATGTAAAATGCATAAAATGAAAGAATCTAGACGTATATGATGTGACTAAAGCTCTACTGGTTTTGACTTGAAGAAGAAGAGAGGACCAAATGTACTGAAAGTCTACAAATCTAATAGATATGTACCCTAATCATTTCTGAACTTATGCTAGGGTGATAAGTACATGTACATTCACCAAAATCTTCCACTGGAAGAAACAAAATGACTCCACATATTCACTTGCTGTACACATAGTAACAATGGCACATTGAGCATCAAAATCCAAATCTGATATACTGTAGATTCCTAATTATATGCTAGGAATCAATTTCTGCGTAATTTCGCAAGAAGCATCACTCGCAAAATAATATTGCTCGCTTTTATTTTTAGGGTGATGAAATCCATTTAAAATCTATTGATCAACTGCAGATTATTATTCTCGCAATTTGACGTTGAAGAGCCAGTACATGATAACAAGAGGCCCACGGGCCTTATAGGTCACCTGAGTATTGTGCAACAACTTTCAAACAATTAAATTTGGTTCGTGTTTAAACCGGAGGCCATGAAATTCACAATTTACAATTTTGAAAGAGGCACCATTGCTTATCATAATTATTAACTTAGCATGCTTACTCTATTTACTTAATACCCAGAGGTAGATCAGAGTAACAAAGAGAAAATGCACTTCCACTTTATAACCAGTTGTGCACCTCACCCCAAAGGAACCACTGACCCAGGGCCATATATTTCAAAATTTTGCAAATTTTATCATAAAATGGTTGATTAATACCAAAGAGCAGATTTCAAAGCATTAATTTATTTTCAGGCTATGTACCCCCCCCCCCCCACTTTGACCCTGGGGGCATTAAAAACCACTTTGCTAGATGCACCTTTCTTCATCATAAATATATATATACTTGGATCATTGGCTTAAAACCCAGAGCAAAGAAAAATATTTACAAAGAATAAATGTATTTTTACTATATAATCAATAGAGCCCCGCCTAACACCAGAACCCCTGACCCTGGGGCCATAAAATTCACAAATTTGGAAGAGGCAATCTTGCTCATCATAACTATGTGCTTATTTAGTTAATATAATACCCAGGAGCAGAGAAGAAGATTTTCAAAGAAATAATGCATTTTCACTACATAATCTATAGAGCCCCGCCCTAACACCAGAACCCCTGACCCTGGGGCCATAAAATTCACAAATCTGGAAGAGGCACTCTTGCTCATCATAACTATGTGCTTAGTTAGTTTATCTAATACCCAGGAGCAGAGAAGAAGATTTTCAAAGAAATAATGCATTTTCACTATATAATCTATAGAGCCCCGCCCTAACACCATAACCCCTGACCCTGGGGCCATAAATTTCACAATTTTGGAAGAGGCACTCTTGCTCATCATAACTATGTGCTTATTTAGTGCATTTAATACCCAGGAGCAGAGAAGAAGATTTTCAAAGAAATAATGCATTTTCACTATATTATCTATAGAGCCCCGCCCTAACACCAGAACCCCTGACCCTGGGGCCATAAAATTCACAATTTTGGAAGAGGCACTCTTGCTCATCATAACTATGTGCTTAGTTAGTTTATCTAATACCCAGGAGCAGAGAAGAAGATTTTCAAAGAAATAATTTTCACTATATTATCTATAGAGCCCCACCCTAACACCAGAACCCCTGACCCTGGGGCCATAAAATTCACAAATCTGGAAGAGGCACTCTTGCTCATCATAACTATGTGCTTAATTTGTTTATTAAATACCCAGGAGCAGAGAAGAAGATTTTCAAAGAAATAATGCATTTTCACTATATAATCTATACAGCCCTGCCCTAACACCAGAACCCCTGACCCTGGGGCCATGAAATTCACAAATCTGGAAGAGGCACTCTTGCTCATCATAACTATGTGCTTAGTTAGTGTATTTAATACCCAGGAGCAGAGACGAAGATTTTCAAAGAAATAATGCATTTTCACTTTATAATCTATAGAGCCCCACCCTAGCACTAGAACCCCTGACCCTGGGGCCATGAATTTCACAATTTTGGTAGAGGACTCAATGCTCATTACATTCATGCCAATAGTTTGCCTGCTTGATGTCCAGGAGTAAAGAAGAAGATTTTTAAAGATTTCATTAATTTTAGTGGTTTTGGCCCCACCCCTCAGGCCCCAGGGGGGCGGGGACCATGAAATTCACAATTTTTGTTCCCCTCCACCCATAGATGCCGTATACCAAATTTGGTTGAAATTGGTTCAGTGGTTTCAGAGAAGAAGCTGAAAATGTTCAAATGTTAACACACGACACACGACGGATGACGACGGACGAAAACGGATAGCAATAGGTCACCTGAGTGACTCAGGTGACCTAAAAAGTACTCGCGAAAAATAAGGAATTTACAGTACAACAAATTATCCAAAAACTTGCTTTGGTCTACTTGTAACGTGTTTTATTAAAATCAGACCAAAACTAGCAAGAGCAGCATTCTGAAAGATTCCAAACTTTTCCTGGACAGTTACAATGTAAGATGAGAATTATAAACAGTTAACCTCGCTGTCATGCCAGGAATGGGAGGATTCGAGATATGAAGGTTAAAACACAAAGGGACCCGGCCAGGAATGGGAGGATTCGAGATATGAAGGTTAAAACACAAAGCAATGGAGAAGTTGGGACTTCAAACTCGAATCAACATATCCATGGAATTCAAATACATGTATCAGAGTTCAACTGTACTATCTAAACTTGTAAATCCTTCTACAGAATAAATAGTGTTTTGTAAAACATCTTAAAGAAAGACAACAGACCCCCTACAATTGGTAGCTTTTCTGGTCTTTGACCAATATAATTTAAAAATATTCAATATATACAATGCTCTTAAAAAGTTAATCTTTTTAAAAAACTAAAAATTTCATATAAAAGCTGCAATCAGTTCTATTTTCTACTTCACACAGAATGGGTTATATTTCCTCCTCTTCTCTACTGACTGTCACTTTGTCACGTATTGCATGGCTTTTCACAGGGGCATCACGCATCACTGAAGTCTTTGGTGTCTCCATTACTGCAGGAGGCTGAATATTGGAATAAAATGCAGCATTCTCCCTCTCTGGTGTTTCTGAGGCGTACATGGTACGTAGGCCGTTTGATGTGACCGGTCGGACGGGTTTGGAGGGGGAGAGGAAGGCCGGGTCCTCCTCAGGATGAGCCCGTATCTGCTGGGCCGCGTTAAAGGATATCTCCTGAAGGGCTGCAAGACAATAACAGACATCATATAATTAGGACTAGGACAAATAAACTATATATGCATGCTATATGTTTACACACTTAAGAAAACATTCAATATGTAACAAAATATACAGATATTATTAAAAAATATTATTAAAAAAAAATAAATAAATAATAGTATTTATCACATTATTTAGCACTTGTATTATCTATTGAGGATAAAAGGACAAATGATACTTATAGGTCCTGAGTTAAAGTTCTTTTGGTACCAAAATAATTCTATACAATTTCCCTTTAACTTATGCCCTGTTCACACGACGAGTTTAATTTGCAGTAAATTAGTGTGAAGTAAACTAATCAAATTAATGCGAATTAAATTGCATTCACACGACAGCTAATGCGAAGTAAACTATTGCGATTTAAATTTTTTCTTCTACAGTCAGGCCTCAGTAAGTCTATTATGACGTCACTTGTAAATCACGTCTTGTATGCAGAGCCATCCTTTGATACATCATGTAGTGGCTACAGGTAATCATTGATTTTAGTGATTAACATACTTTCCCTCAATTTTTGAACCAAATATAGCACAAATACCTATATATAACCACCAACACGTGTCCTGTGACTTAATTCTGGCCTTATGCATGCGTCAAAATTTAATTCGAATTAGCTTCGCTTAGCGTTCACACGGAGCTAATGTGAAGTAATTTAATGCGCAGTAAATTAATTCGAATTAAACTAATTTGCATTGAATTCTCCGGGTGAACGCTTAGCGAAGCTAATTTGCAGTAACTTTACGTTTAGTTCGAATTAAACTCTCCGTGTGAACAGGGCATTAATGTCAATGGAGAATTGTCATATCTATATACTTTACAGTATCCTCTAACTCATGTTAATGAAAACTTGTGGTAATATCACTATACTGTATATATCCTCCCTCCTACTAAATGTCAGTTAAATCTTATTGTTACACTTCTATACTGTATCCTACCATAATTTATTGTCAATACCTCTATACTTCATTTTACTTCTTATTCAATATCAATGAAAACATACTTAAGGCTCTATACTGTATCCCCCCCCAACCTCTACCTACATCAGTGAAGACCTACCTGGGTCAGGTGCAGAAGGAAGCCTCCCGTCTGTGGCATCTTTTGTAGTCACCCGGACAATAGTTTTGCGAGAAATTTGTGGGTTATGATCTCCAGGAGGGGGGTCAGTAGGATCTCTCTTGCTATCTGCCCATATTGTTTGATTGACTTGTGCTCCGGTTTTCTTGTCCACTGCCGAGCGAACTATAGTGCCCCCTGGTGGAGGGACCTGAGGGTCGTCCAGGACTGTCCCAGACGGCACTAACGAGCTGCTGTTCATTGTGTTCATCAGATTTGTTCTGGCCAGCTGACCTTGAGGCACAGGATGTTGACTATGATATGGTGTATTGTATGAATCATGTCCTGGGGTGGAAGTGAATCCTGGCATCCCAGGATATGACATGTCAGGCACAGGAATATAGTTCCCATGTGGATCAATCATATAACTCTGTCCACCCTGCTGGTATTGATGAGGGTTGCCATACACAGCATTACCGTAAGCATCATAACCCAACAAAACTATTTCATTTATTTGGTTCTGTTGTTGAGGAGGGTAAAAATGTTGCATTACTGAAGCATCTGTAGCAAAAACTGGAGCTAAGGCCTCGGGAGGAAGAGGCCCATCTGCCTTTACATGAGCAGGTGGCACAGAATCAAAGGAGTTGTTTTGAAGAGAGTCATCTGTTGTGTTTTCCATGCTGTCTCCTTTCCCGGTACTGGGCTTCTTGTGAATGCCAACATATTTCTTTTTGCGTTTCTTGCGTTTTGATCCTGGAGATTCATCTGTTCTAGATCTGAGGGAACTGACAGAGGCTCTAATGGCTGGATTTGTTCGCAGCAGTGGGTTAGTAATTTTGTCTGGTTCCCCCACCTCACTCTGTTGATCAATACCAGCATACTTTGACTTGTCAAAAGTTCCCATCTCCTCCGGCTGACCATTTGCTTTACGAGAAGTTCTTGGTGTGCTCTCAGAGGCCGGACCTTCTTTGGAATCTGCAATGTTTTTTTCACTTGTATCTGACTCAGTTTTCAATTCCTTCATGCTCTGTCTACGCGAAAGCTCTCTTTTAAGTTCATGCAAGATTCCACCTGTTGTTGGATTATTCTCAAAAACATCATCAACATTAGTTTCCTTTCTTATGTTAGTATTGTTTTCTTTTTCATAGTCTTCTTGGTCAGTGTAGCCATGGTTAGAATAGTTTCGTTTTATGTTTCCACTGTCCATAACTGGGCGGCGTCCTCTTGGTGGTTCCTCCGTACTTTTGGTCCTCCTCCTGCCCCTCGGTGGTGAAGAAGACATGACTGGTAAATTGGTGTCCCTAACTCCTGATGTTTGACTGTCACTTTCCCAGCTCTTCTCTTTGCCCTGAGTGGAAGGAAGTGGAGGTGCTTGAGGGGGTGTCACAGGTTTTATTTTTCGTCCCATGGTTGGGGTATGTGTCAAGCTAGCCCACATCTGCTGGTTTTCCCAGTTTTTGGAGGAGAAGGAGGCTTCTGAGTTACCAACTGACTCAGCATAACCAGTGGAACCATTGACACTGTGGAATATGTTGCTTGATTTACCAGAGGAGATAACTCCACCTCTGTAGCTCTGCATTGACTTCTTCTCTAAGAAGCTGAGCTTTCCCTGTTTGTAGAACCAGCACATCACTATACAGAACACAATGAGAGCAAACAGACCGATCACGATTCCTATAACAGCGCCAGTGGGGAGTTTAGAGGTGCCTTCTGACAACTCTGGTGCAGACGGATCACCTGTAAATCAATAGACTCATTAGTCAGTGGGCCACAGTCCTAACCTGTCGCATTGCTCCATCCTAGTATGTAAATCAAACCTCGTAAGTCATGATTTAACAGATGAAAAAAGGTCCTCTTTAAAGATGTTTGCATATTAAAGGCCTATACATGTATATTCAACAGGGCAATTACTTGTGAATGCTTACATTATGTTAAACATGCCTCAGTTTTTAAAAAACTTTTCATTTTTACTTTAAAAATTGCAGCTATGCAAAGTTTGTTCATACCCGACTTTAAGGATATGACTTGAATGAATAATGTTTACCTGTTATTTTCTACATAAAGAGAGTCATCTAATTAATAATTTGATGACTTACGGAATGTTGTAATACGTAGATTAAACGTGTTGTGAGGCTGGAATAGATCTCGGGCCTGGGTTAGATACACCGTGATGTCTGAATTTCGAACTTCAATAACACCAGTATTTTCCTGGTCTCCTAAGCAACGAAAACTTTTCTACAAATAAAAAAAAACAATACTCTGTAGATAATGATGCCTCAGAGAGTAAAAGGTTTTACAAAATATTTATAAGTACTGATAGTTAATACTATCAATGTTATTAATTATCATGTAAAATGTAAAACATTTCATATTAGCCCAATTAAATTAACCTTTAGCTTCTCCAAATAAAATTTCTTTTTTTCTTTTTTTTTTTAAGAGATTATTTTTTCTCATTTTTTTTATCAACAGAGAATTTTTTATCTTTACTAAATTCAATACAAATCAACTGTTTGATAACTCAATGAAATGAGTCAGTGCTTAAGAAACTAAAATAATCATCTTAGCCTAATTATATCATTTTCCATATAACAAGTTCACTGTGATGACATTCACTTGGATGGTCATTGAACACCAATATATTTTCATGAATCTCTCTACAAGACAACTGGTTCAAGATAATTAACTTGACTAAATAGAATCATGTAAAATCAAAAAATAAAGGAATTTCATTCAAAATAAATTTTAAAACTTACCACTGGGGAACCAGATGGGGTTGTTCCTTCAAAGATGCTGAGAGAAAATGCACAGTCTTTGATAGTGGCAGTCCACTCCACTTTGATGTAGTAGTAGGGGTCGGTATAGCCTGACCTGAGGACGGTGGTACAGGTAGAGGGGGGGTTAGGGGTGGATATTGGGGAGCGGGCGGCCAGGTTAATGGTGTTGTCATAGATGATGATTGTTTGTCCACAAGTACTAGGTCCATCCATGTAATCTGAGAATTATAAATTGTCCAATAACAGCTTGCTTCCATCACAATTACATTTATCTTTGCTATTTAGCAGTAAAGTAAAATATTTTACAACAAGAGGCCCATGGGTCACATTGCTCAACTGAGCACTGTGGCTAAGGGATGAGACTATGATTAGGACAAACTTGAATACTTGAATCTAAACTAATAACCAAGGATGCATGCATATTTCTTTAACTATAACTATGGCTTTTTTACCCTTAAGTCTGTGCCTATTCTTGAGATTTTAAAAGATTTTTCCTATATATTTCTATGTAAAACTTTTATTGCCCCTTGTGGCCCCGCCCTACCCCGGGGGTCATGATTTGAACAAACTTGAATCTACACTACAATGCTTCCCCATAAGTTTCATCTTTCCTAGCACAGTGGTTCTTGAGAAGTTTTTTTTTAAAAAATGTCACCAAATTTTCACTAATTCTCAATTATCTCCCCTTGAATTGGGGTGTGGCCCTTCATTTGAACAAACTTGAATCCCCTTCATCCAAGGATATGCTTTGTGGCAAGTTTTTTTAAGTTGGCCAAGTGGTTCTGGAGAAGAAGTTAAACAAGTTTACAGACAAAATGTGATCAGAAAAGCTCAAAAGGCTTTTTCATCCTTCAAGTCTATGCTTAAAGGCCGAGATTTTCAACCGTACGGTTTTCTCAGGTAAGGGGAGGGACTAAATTTTACATGCGTGGCACTCCGAGGCATTGATGGTCGTGCAGACCGAGGGAAGCGCTAATCCCTATACACAAACGATATACACAGGAAGTCCATGAGTATTACCTGTACAGTTTGCTGTTCACCATAAAATAAGTAGATCTCGACATCGTGAATAAAAAATATCATTAATAATAATAAATTATCATTGTAAAATTCCATAATTTCAGACATATCTAATATCAAATCAAGCAGAAATCTCACAGCAGCAATGACTTGAGTTCGTTGTTTAAAAAAAATAATGAAATACAGATATAAATTCAACAGTAAAATACTAATCCTTGCCTGTCCCTTTCAAAATCTTAAAAACTATTCAAAATTATCGTAAATAGAGCTTCGATCACGATCAAATAGAAACAGTTACTTCCCGTTTGTATTAAAAGTCGCGTGGTCCTATTTTTAGCAAATGTAGCATTCTGTATCTTGTGTGAAAAATTCGACATAACGATGGTTTCGCCAAGTTAAAATTACATACAAATGTGTGTATTTTATCGATATTAAAGTAAATTTAGAATATAAGTTAAAAACTTAAAACAAAATATTGATTTATTGCTAACTTCTGTATTTCTTTCAAAACTACTTTTAACACCTGTGACCTTGAACGGAGGTAAGGACCCACGTAGCAAGAAAGAAACTCTTAATACTTTAATACTTGTCCAGGCGAAGTTTTTACTAATCAGACTATCCATTTCAAGCAAAAAATGTTACCAGTTTATTTTCTCCTTTATTTTTGTCGTAATTTTTTCTCCGCATCTCAAAACAAGAATATTTTTACGAGTGAAAACATGATTTCAGTCACCTATGCACTTTTCATTAGAAAAAAAAATTACACAATCTTGATATTATTGTAACACTATGAGAACATTTTCATTTTTTCAATGTTTGTAATACAGATAATTAGAATCAATTATAATCAAGCTAAATTTGTTAGCATCGAAATGGCTTCCTCATTGCGTTTGTGATTTAGCGGTAAACATCAGAAAACCGAAAGTTAATTTGATGGTGCCCACGCGTGTCAAACAAAGTGAAAGAGATATACACAGGGACTAGCAGCTATAAGTGTCAATCATTTTCAAGTACCCAATGATGGACCTTAATTTGTTTGATTGACAGGGAAATACAGACCAGATAAATCTGAAGGCGGTGCTTATTATCTCGGGCTTTAAGTTCCTCTCCTTATATGTTAGTATATATTTCATGCAAATTAATTTAAAAAAAAAAAATTGATACAAGCTTAAAAGCAATAAATAATATTAACTAGAAAATCTACTTGTTTTGTATAAATTTATGAAGAGTATGTAGGAAAAAAAATGCAGTTATCACATAATAATGATTGACTACTTGTACAACTAAATTTTCACCACCTTAATTTACAAACAATAAATGATTATAACTGAACTTGAACAGATGAAACTAAAATGAAATCTAGAATTAATTTACAATATATTGTTTACAAATTGATCAGAAAATATGAGTACATACATTCTCTGACGATTCCATGGGCTATATTCAGCCAACTTATAGTAAGCAAGATGATGAGACTATACATCTTATTTTCCAGGAAACCAGTTCAGACAATCTACAAGAAGCACATAAAGCAATCATTTTGAAACCAAAAAATTCTTTTTGTATTCCCCGACCCCTCCACAGGTACAATTAACTGATCTCCGTAATATTGAAGCATTTATAAACAGAAAATCATAACGATGTTGATTAATACTATTGCTATATTATGCTTTCTTTTCTTTTCATTTGAGAATTTTAAAAAAGTCTGTTTATATGACAAATTTTACTTTATTGAATCATATATATAAATATATATACCTTCATACCTCCGTCCAGGTAAGTTCGATCATCACAGCTAAACATGAAGTGGGAACAACGCAGTCTAGTTGTCTACAAAATGTTTTCGAACAATTTGTTTATCCGCCATGTTTTTTTTTTTTTTTACCTGAGTTGACCTACTTTTCCGCAGGTAAACGAAGTCGATAAATTTCCAGTCCGCATTCTTTACTATATGAATCAACGCCTAATGTTTGTATCAAACCGACATGAAATTATCGGTTATGTGAACATATCATACAGGTAAGAGCAGAAAATGGCGTCCACATACAAACAGGAAACGAAAAGGTAATATCTCAAATTCATATGAAAATGTGATCATGATAATTAGATTAAATATGAAGAAATCTCTACTGTAAAATATGATATTGTATAACATTTTTGGGGGGGTCTTAGAAGTATAGTTATATACAATTATAATTTATACAGGTATATAGAAAATAATAGATCGTCTATAGCAATTCAATATTTCTTGGTGCTGTCGCTCGACTTTGAAAAATCATTAATTTAGAGAAAAATGCTATATGGTATTACTGTCTAGGCTTTGACGAATGATGCTCTAGTACGTTTGTGAATTATTCAGAGTTTTACTGTGTTTCTTTACACTTATCCTAAATTTTGGGTATATAATTATATCCCATATTTTACCAAATTTTAAAATAAAATTCTTATTTTCATTGTAGGATTCATATACTAGTATAACAAATCAGCAACAATGTTCGGGCGGATTTTTGTGACGGTGATCTTATGTCTTCAGTTCCCTATATCCTTACAGCAATCCTCATTCAGTGGTCAAAATCCCCAGGCAAAGGTGTTCGATTGTAAGTAGTGAAATTAAGGTTTGATCACCTACTACAGTCATTCTCTCATATTCAGTCATACTCAAATTCAGCGGACCTCTCAACGTACTCAACGGACCCCTCTGAACGTACTCAGAAGAGAATTAATTTTATTCCTCCTAAACAATTTGCTCACATGCATGAATCAATAATGATATTAGAAAAAAGCCAGTTTAATATACATTCTTATTAACTCTAATTAATCTAAGTCCAGTTAAACAGTGCAGTACAGTTAAACATGTAAATAATGTAAGTTCCCAGGTGCAGGACCTGGTTTTAAACAAAGTAAAATTAAATCCAGTCATAGTTCACTGAACATTAAAGAAAGGGAGAAAAAGCAATGCATGAAAAAACATTATAATCATTTGAAAGTAAATCATTCTCAGAATGACATTTACCATATTCTTCTGATAACTATTCTTTATATCAATTTATTTACCATTTACACAGCAAAGGTTAATTTATATGACAATATCACAGTAAACATTTCATATGCAGCTGTTTTGTAGGTATAAGACATAGAAAATTATAAACATTTATAATATGATTGCAGACTATATGGATAGCCATGCAGAATGTGGTAAGACGTTTGAGTTGGGATTGAATTCGGCCACAGTGTATGGTAAGGGAGCAGTTCAGACCGGAGACAGCCCCACTAGCTGTACCATCATTCTGTCCACTGACGGGATCAGGGAACACCGAAGATTCAGCATAGAGTTAGTCACTGGTTTTATTAACTCACCTGGAGTCAACTTTTACATATATGATGGACAGTGGTCTCAGAATTCAGGGGCACAAACTCTGGTAAATGCTGTAAACAGCCTTAAAGTCATTTACACAATGGCAGGGGTCCTGATTCCACTCATAGCCATTTGACCCCTTACAAACTTCAGTTCATATTCGACAGGCTGACATGTATATTTTTTTGCTTACTTATTGTTAACATTTTATATCAATTTATGAAAACCCCAATTTGATTGGTGCTTTCCAATGAGAGAAGCCCTAGAACATTGAACTCAGTTTGTCATTGGTCCAAAGGCCACAAGTGACGCATGACCCCTGAAATTGTGTGGATGCCTTAAAGCAGCATGAAAAAGAAAAGTTTGAAACTTAATTTGTCTATTACTAGTCAACATAAATACCAAAGACAGAAACACTTTACCGGTATATATTGATTTCTTTTTCAGGCTTCCTTTAGTTACTATAACAACCCTCCTACCAATATGCAGAAGTTAATTACGTCGGGCGGGTTCGTGACCTTTTCTCTGACCCGGGACAGTCCCGATCTGTTTGGTTATGGTTTTGTTATCCATGTACAGCCCATTCCTGGTGAGTAAAAACAGATTCACAATTCAATTAGATAATATCATCTGCATTTTAGTTCAAGCCATATATATACAAATTATACCTAAATAACTGTGATCTTTCTGTAGCTGACATCTCCAATCCAAATAACTGTGATGATGGAGCAGGGTTTGGCTGTGAGAACTACTACTACAATCCTATCATCACCAAGTCTGAGGTCATCTACATAGTGGCTGCCATCTTTGCGGTTGTTCTGGTGATTGTGGTACCTTCAGTCCTGGTTTACTGCTATCGTCGTCAGAAGGGACTGAATCGCCAGTGGCAGGAAAGACGTCTAAAGGATGGCGCCCCAAACACGGCTGCCACGTCACTGAATGGCAGCGTACGTTCTGCTCCACGCAGCGTCAGGCCATGGCAATCTGAGGGTTCTAAACAAACCTTCGCTTCCATCAAGAAATCTCCTGTGTCCTCCCGCAGGTGGTCACGACCACCAACTGATGAAGAGGACAGTGTCTTTGATGGTATCAGTTTATTGACAGTAATGTTAGCAAACCTTCGTAGTGTATTAAAATTATTTTTGAAGCATAATCAATTATGCTTACATGTAATAGTAGTATATACATGTACGATTTATTTATCATAAAGATTTCAAATAATTCACAATGCTAACTGCTGTGATACTTTGAACAGGTTTTGTACAGCTTTAGTTTAATTGTAGAAAAAACATCTGATCATAATGAAATTGAATAGAGATATGTACATTAAATGTTTCAAAGTGCTAGTTTGTTTTTCAGATTTTCCAAAGAGACCCCCTCCTCCACCCCCATATGAGGAACATGATAGATACAGAGTGGCCAGGAACGGTCGAGATTCCAGGAGAGACAACTACAGAAGAGAGCGTCCTTATAGAGAAAGGAAGTACAGCGGGAGCAGTAACAACACGTCCGGTAGAGATCAATACAGCGATGAGAAAGAACAGTATAGTGATGAAAAAGATGATTCCTTTGTACAGGCTGACGACGATCATCCACAGGAAAACTTTGTGGAGAGGATCATTGAACCTAGAGTCCATCCCAAGTCAGCAGGGAGGGTGAACAGAAAGGCAAAGGTGGATCAGGAGGATGGATATGATTCTATTGGAAATGTGAAATCTGATAAAAAAGACAAGAAAAAACTGAACACTGAGACTCAGTGCAGCAAGGAGTCGGACAGTGAGGGCAGTCCAGAGACGGAGAATGAGGCAGAGAGTACGGAGGAGGAGGAGGTGTCCTCACATTCTGAGGAGGAGCAGGACCCTCGGACCTCACTGTACGCACAACCTGACAAAGCTCGCAAGGCAGGCAGGAAAAAAGATAAAACCAAAGCAGATAAACCAACAGTCCTACCACCTCAACCAACTACAAGCACAGGTCTACAAGCAGGAGTGCCATACCAAGCCAGACCCCCAGGAATGGTGGTGCAAAGAGCACCACTACCGGGATATCCTGTGGGGGCCCCAAATCCAGCCCTCAATCCCTCCTTAAGGTTTATGCCACCAGTGGGGCAAATTGTAAGGCCTGCTTATCCGGTTCCGAACCAGTTTAACCCTGCAGGTGCTTTTCCTCCAGCCAATCCAATGGCTAGACTTCCAATGCCAGCACCAACAACAGTTCCCAATGTTCCCAGAGCAATGCCTCAAAATCTACCTGTGTCCCAATCAAAACCATTGTATGAACAGTTGAATAATTCAGGTGATGCTCCAAAATATTCGTATCTTGTTAATCGTGGTTATGACACCGGTAGAACCTCTCCAATCAGCACGACGACAAGTTACAGCCAGCAGAGCTATGTTTTAGATGACTCTGCTGTTAATATTGACCTAGGAAGTGGCGTAGAGCTCATGAAACGGACTACTGATGTCTAAATATTTTAAACATAATCTGGTATTTATATCAACTTAATGCACTAGAGTGCTTCTTTAAATTTTTACCGGAAAATGAATATCGTTTATATGTTTTTTCTTAATACATGTACCATGCAAGTATGGACAGTTAAGAATAGACAAAAATCTTGGCATTGCATTTAAATTTTCCTGTGTGATATAAAGGATGGAGATCAGGGGTCTATTTTCAAAAGAACTTGAGTTAGACACAGATAATAATTTTAAGAACAATATAATTTTTTAATATCAATTTAAAAATAGTTTTAAATACTTTTAAAATTAATTTAGATGTGTATTTTTATATAAGCAATTTTTAACAGAATATAATTGATTTTGCAAGATTATATCATCATCCAAAACATTTTGTCTTAGCTCTAATTTCTTTAGTAAAAGCTGGCTCTGCTCAATTTATTGACATAAAATATTTTTAAAATGATTTCTTGATATTTGTCAGTAGCATTCACTATAGGAATGTATAGTTGTCATCATTTTATACCGAGTGAGAGGGTTTATCAAAACCAGTCTAAATAAGACTTTGATCCAGTGAGCAGCACACAAGCTGTGGTATTAAATACTACAATAAATCTACTATGTATGATATAATTATTTTAAATGAAAAATATGAATGCTATTAGCTTTTAAAAAAAATTTTTCTAATGTAATATGATGTTTTATGACATATTGTGCTTATTCAGCAATAAAATATTTCATATCTTACTGTAACAGAGAATCAATTTTCTTTCACTTTAAATTTAATATGAACCTGTACAGTAAAAGTTGGATATACCGTATAAGTAGAATTTTTAGCAAGGATTTAATTTTGGCATTATTAGCAAGGGTGTTGACATCTCTAAAAATTAATTGCGTATTATTTGCAATAGCTTCTTTAGTTAGCATTTTAAAATCGCTAAATTTACTTCTCGCTAAAAATAAAATACCAAATGTTGGGTAGAAATCGCTAAATTTGCATCTCGCTAAAATTTCCACTTATACAGTAATGAAATCTTAGGACTTGTGAATTTACTTTGCATTTATCTGTATAAAATTTTTGTTAAAAAAGATACAAAACAAATTCAAACTTGATGGGACCGAGAAAAAAGATATCCGAGGATTCTAGATATTGAGGGTAAAATGCCTAAAGAATATGTGATTTACAGTTAAACATGACTCATAAGTAGGCATACACCATGTTCAATTTTATTATCTATGACATCAACACCAGGATATACTCTTTGCACTCGTTACACCTGACTGCTTTGTCATGGGTATATCAATGTACTGGAATGGCCACCCGTGTTTGTGCTGGTTATCTTGCATTACCTTTGTTTAAATTTTATTGCAACTAGAACTGTCCAATAGGGACAAATACCCCCCGCTGGGTTTTTCAGAGAAGGTGCCAATTCAAAAATACTTTATGGATCCAGAGGTGTTCACAATTTACTTACAAAAATTTGCAGTGAAATATAATTGCTCATTACGTTTCTTAATGAATGAAACAAAGGTGCAACCAAATGAAACATCAATACTAATACATTGTAATTCCAGTGCAACATATTTTTTTATTTTTGCATAAAAAAAAATATATTGCAACTATGTGTCATGACACTCTGCAAACTGATTGTTGAAAAAAAAATCATATTATACAAAATCAAATTAATCTCCATTACATTATACATCAAATTCATCTGAAAATGAAGAGCTGGTCATCCAGTAATGAAGTGCTTTGACAGACAATAAATTACAATTAAGAGAATAAAAGAGAGATCTTTAATTCTTGTGCGAAATTCCCAGGAGATAACACATGGTTGATAAGAAATGCCTTAACAACTTCCCACACCAAACTCATTAATTTATCTTTAACTGGATGCATGTCCAGTCATTATTCCCAAGAGACAAATGAATCAAAATTATCTTCTGTGTAATGTAAAAAGTGTTTTTAACACTTGATGATGTTTCTTTTTTTTTTTAGTTTTAATGAGTAGTTTTAAGTTGTAGTTCACATTTTTGTACAGATAGTCTAGATTCTACGTCTCAAACCTTATACCTGAGCCCAAAATGAACAAGTCAATTAAAATAAAAAATGAGACCTGTAAAATGCAGAAAAATGAACAAATAAAGTTGAAAATTCCAGCTGCACACCTTCATATGGTGAATAATAAGTGTACAAATTTTCAGATAAATCCTTGCAATAGTTTCTGAGAAACGGTCTGCACAAAACCACAAAATAAAAATGAAAAAACACCTTTAAAATTCAAAATAATCATCCAATCAAGATGAAAATATCAGGTGCATATCTTCATATGGTGAATAATATGTGTACAAATTTTCAGACAAATCCTTCCAATAGTTTCTGAGTAATGGTCCTGACAAAATCTCGTCTACAGACAGACGGACGGACGGACATGGTGATTCCAATATACCCCCCTAAACTTCGTTTGCGGGGGGTATAATAAACTTCATTTGCGGGGGGTATAATTACGTGTATCTGTGTTTGTTTGTATACAGCACTGAAATTTACATTCCGGTAAGAATCGATGATCAAGAAATCAACTCACCAAACTTCCAAAGAGATATCATAGAGATGATTTCAATCCATTTGAAATATAAATTTTGTAGATGAAAATAATATCAGTTCATTTTTTAGGTTATTTTGAAAAAAATGCCATAAATGTGAGAAATATTTCTTTACTAAATTTTACATAAACTTGCCTATTAGTAGTAGGATATTAATTTGACCTTGACCTTCCCTATGACATTGTCCTCTCAATTCCTCATTTGGAATGTCCTTTTTCATTATTATTAAACGCCATACAGTGATGCAAGGTGGTGGAAGCAATGTCGGCCTTTTGTATAGCATTTTTTTCCATCAAAATTCATACTCTGAAAAAAATTGGTGAGGGAAATTCAACTGTCTAGTAATAATTTTGTTATTGATGGAGACCTTAAACTCCACTTTAAAACAAATTAAAACAAACTTCATGAAAAATCAACTCGGACAAATTGTGGCCCCTCTTTACCCCTGTGGCCATGATTTGAACAAATCTGAATCCACACTACCTGAGGATGATTCCACACGAGTTTCATCTTTCCTGGCCCAGTGGTTCTTGAGAAGATTTTTCCTATATATTCCTTTGTAAAACTTTTGTTCTCCATGTGGCCCCACCCTACCCCCAGGGTCAGGATTTGATCTGCAGTAATTAAGGCAGTCTTACACCAAACAAATGCATTCCAAGATGGAACATCTAATTCAAGTTTGACTGGGGTTTATCAAAAACTTTCACTTGCTCGATCACCTTGTAAATGTACATCAGATCCAGTAAGCAGAGCATGTCTGGGAGACTACCAGTAGTACAGCACATCCCTAGATACATCACCTGGTCGGTGATAAGGAAAATACATGTTAGATCCAATACTTGAAGCAAGTCTGCAAGTGTACTTCCAAGGAAATATTATTCATGCAAGTTTGGCATGGTCTATAAAGGGCTTATACGGTATATGTATTATATTTGGCGTGTACAATATTTGGCTGAAATTGAGTTTTGAACAAGTTAGTGTAGATTTGATTTAGTGCAATTCTTAATGTTCCTATTTCCAAGGGTCGATCCAAAAGTTCGTGGAATTTCTTTCTAAAATTTGATCTTGATTTGATAAAAGCAAACAACAGGCATATTCATAATATTGAGTCATAATGCAATATTATTGAAAATTTCACCACTTTCCAATTACCAATATGATAAGGTCACACGAGCTTTCTGAAAATGGATAGTTGTGAAACCCGGGGGAGACTTCGACATAACATCAAGTAAGATATGACACGTCACGTTATAGAAGCATCTCACCATAATGTCCGATTGGAATACGTAATTCTACAAAGTGCTGCCCTTTTCTCGATTTTTTTCTAAAGAAAAGCCTGAGTATCCTCTCGCACAAACTTATCTTCTTTTTCACTCATATTTCAAAAAACTACCCATCTTTCCATAGGATTTTTCAATTTCTGAAGCAATGTCAAGAACAGTACATCAGCCGACGACATCCATTACATGTAATGCTTTTAATTTTTCAATGGGAATAGGCACTTAAAACAGAGCCTCCAAAAAGAGACCACACCTTTGATCAACGTCCGTGGAAGTTCTATTGTTTCCTAAAAACAGTAACTAAATGCATTTTCCCAAGCCTATGTCAATAATATACGCGTTTAAAATAGAGTGATCCCGGGATTTTCACAAAACATATGACTCGGCCGAAATTTGACGTTGTCTAACAACTTAAAGATGAACAATAAATCATCAACTAATAAACTAAATATCCAGTAAAACTCTCACACAAAGGTTTATATGATAATAAACGCCTTAATGTCTCCCCCGCATTTCCAAACAACCGTTTCTATGGCAACTGCCATAGAGTTACTATCAAAGATATTTAAAATGTTTTTTTTAATTTTAAATATTCATCAAGTGTCTATATTTTCATTTGTAATTTTCAACTAATTCCACTAAAAAATAAATAAAATATGAAGAAATTCCACGAACTTTTGGATCAACCCTCGCATGTATATATGTTGAAGACATTTAGCGTGTTCTTGAATTAGCAACAGTTTCTCTTCGCCAAAGGCACTAAAAAGAATACACAGTGAAATGTATTACAGTAGTTCTTTCTCCCAAACATAAGAAGGGCCACTAACATCATGTATTTAGCATAAGCTCATATCAACTGATCAAGTTGAGCAAAAAAACGAAAGCAAGAAATAAAAATTCATCTTTTTATGGTAAAAAATAGTATCCATTTATTAGAAAACAGTATGCATGTATGAATAATCAATTCACTTTTTCTTATGGTCCACCCATTTGAAGAAGTCACACCTGGCCTCCGGATTACTGCTGTGCCCCTCCCCTCTGGCGCACACAAAGAACTGTTTGCCTTTATTTGGTCCAGGCTTTTTGACGGTCCGTAACACACAGACTTCCTGATGTCCCTTACACAATGGGGGAGGGGGTGGCCCTTTAAGGAGACTTTTCCAAGCACTTGCCGAGTTGTTTTTGATTGTTACATCATCCACTAGTTTTATTCCTATCTCCGTGGTTTGTATCTCTTCATTTGTATTACTGGTAGACTTTTGAATGTTAAGGTCTATAATCTCCTTTTTTGAACTTGTCTTTAGAAAAAATCCCTTTAGACTTCCTTGTTTGATATCACTTGACTCAGTTTTTCTTCTCTTGGCCTGATTTCCCAACTTTTCATCAGCACCTGTTCGTTTAGATGACATTTTCCCTCCATTATCCCCTGTAGTTACAGATGTGTCAGTGTCAGTAGAGGTAGTCTGGCTGCAAAAGACCTCTACTTTTTCATTGGTCTTTTCCTTCTTTATAAAAAACGATGAGAGTTTGACTTGTTTTCCACAAAACTCTGGCATGTACTTGGTACATAGTGCAGGACATCTATCAGAAGGTATGAATTCTGAGAAGTATTCAGCTTTAACTGGGCAGTGATCTGATCCTTCAACCTCTGACATAATAATGCAGTCCTTTAAATCACTCTTTGCCATCTGTATATCGGTGAAGATGTAATCAAGGCGTCTGCCATAGTTTGTTTCTCGGGCTGAGGTCAGTGTACACCAGTTGGTGAAAGCTCCCTCCTTGTCTGGATACAAATATCTGAAGGAGTCCACAAAGAGACCACCACTCACAAAACTGGTGGTGCCCGCGAACTCTTCCCTGTTCTCCACAGCTGGAATACTGGAATCTCTGTCACCGTCCCAAACAAACTGGTTCACCCACACCCGACTCGGCTTGGTGACCGTTCCCTAAATTAAAAGGGAAAGTCTTTGAACTCTTTGAGATAAATGGAAATCTATAGCAAATGTTCTCAATTACTTGCTTTAGAATGTTGAGTTACATGTTACATGTATGTAAATCAGATCCTTGAATACTTATTAGTATTAAATGTAATTTAAAACAGAAAATCTTACAATTTCATCTTCTTCACTCATGTCAATACTCTTGTGTTTGACGTTCATGTCGCCAAGAACAATAACATGACTACAATGAAAAAGAAAAACAATCCATTTCTCTAAATTCTTATAACATCATTTTTAGCTCACTTGATTCCGATTATTTTCTTATATTACTATTGAATTTTTCTTATATCAACAATTATTTATATTACGTGTACTCTTAATTTAACTCATTCATTTCTTATATCATGTAAACTTTTCACATTTTCAACTTCTTCTCAAGAACCACTGGACCAATTTTAACCAAATTTAGTACAAAGCATCCTTGGGGAATGGGGAGTTTAAATTGTTAAAATAAAGGGCCAGATATATCCCCTTCCAAGGGGAGATATCAGTATGCTTATAAAAACAAAAATAGGGTGGGATATAAAAAATCTTCTTCTCAAGAACCACTAGGCCAGGAAAGCTGAAACTTATGTGGAAGCATCCTGGGGTAACCGTATAAGAAATTCATTAAATTTATCATACCCCCAGGGGTAGGGTGGGGCCTCAATAGGAAATCCAAGTTTTACATAGAAATACATAGGAAAAATCTTTAAAAATTTTCTTCTCAAGAACCAGTGGGCCAGAAAAGCTGAAACTTATGTAGAAGCATCCTGGGATAGTGTAGATTCTAAATTGTAAAAACCATGACCCCTGGTTGTAGGGTGGGGCCACAATAGGAAATTCAAGTTTTACATAGAAATATATAGGAAAAATCTTTAAAAATCTTCTTCTCAAGAACCATTGGGCCAGAAAAGCTGAAATTAATATGGAAGTATCTTGGGATAGTGAAGAATCTAAATTATAAAAATCATGACCCCCGGGGGTAGGGCGGGGCCACAATAGGAAATCCAAGTTTTACATAGAAATATATAGGAAAATCTTTAAAAATCTTCTTCTCAAGAACCATTGGGCCAGAAAAGCTGAAACTTATGTGAAAGCATCTTGGGATAGTGTGAATCTTAATTGTTTAAATCCTGTCTTTTCACATTGGGGCCACAATAGGTAATCGGAGAAAGTTTTACATAGAAATGCGTAGGAAAAAATCTTTAAAAATCTTCTTCTTAAGAACCAGTGGGCGACAATAGCTGAAATATATATGAAATCATCCTAATTATATATATAGATTATATAGTTGAAACCATGACCCCCATTTTTAGGGCAGGGCCTCACATTTTCCTTTTTTTATATAGAAATATATAGGAAAAATCGTCTTTTCAAGAAACAGTGGTCCAGGAAAGCCGAAACTTAGGTGGAAGCATCCTGGGGTAGTGTAGATTCTAAATTATTAAAATCAAGACGGAGGGGGGGGGGGGGATGGGGCCACAATAGATATAAGGAGAGGGGAAATCTGGTAAAGAACTGCATCACAAAAGTTACTCAGGTGAGCGATGTGGCCCATGGGCCTCTTGTTTTTATATTACACTTAAATTCTTCTTTTATTATTTTCTTATATTACTATTGCGTTTTTCTTATATTAACAATTATTTATCTTACGTGTACTCTTAACATGTATACATATTAACACCGAAATTTGATTAACGTCACTAATTTCTTGCAGAGCATTTCGGTTTTCATCAGTAATATCATGTTGGCAATACATTGGCTTCATTCTAATTTCTAAATGTACAATTCATAGCATCAAGATATATTTGCTTTCAGATTGTGGCATTATTGTCTAATTTGTCAGCATGCTTATAAATTAACCCTTTGTGTGCTGACTTGTTTTACGTGCGCTGTAACGAAAGCCACTGTAATGTTGTTTTGTAATATCAACAAAATTATCACAATGGTGTACTAAAATGGCTTCTAGCTCTTAAAGCAGATTGCAAAGGCATAACTTTGACACAAGATCAATTTTTGGAAGTCAATCCATAATCTGTATTTTGAAATAGAAATCCAGGATAATTAGAGATTTCCTTATTGTTGAAAACTATCTTCTTGTACATTATGTCCTAACATTTCATCTTCCTTGATTTTCCATTCAAAATGTCAATTTGAAAAAAAAACAGAAGAGAGAGGCCTGAGGATGAAATTCTTGAGTATCTGCATATAATTTCCCTGAAAGAGGTTACCGGTACTTTTAGGTCTATCACACAAACTTTATACACTATGAATGTACTAACCCTCATGATTGCAAAAGGTTGATGGTTTGAGTCTATAAAATATTGAAATATGCCTTACAATTTAACTACATGTACTTATCCTAACAATTTTGGCTTCTCCTGTCAAAAATACCAAATTAAAAGCTGTTCTGACATCTTCAGTTTTCATTATTAGAGTAAAAGTTCATAGTCCTTATAACCTTGTTTCTATTGTAATTGTATGTTTCTGTGTAATCATGTGATCTAAATCATTTTAAAGTAAACAAACTGGAAAAAAAAATTATTTGGCGGCCAGGGTCCTCCAAAGCCCCTGGAACTGGGAAACCCCTGACCCACTTAATAATGACTTTCCTTTTTATACTGCTGGCAGCTCTGGCACTGTGCTTTTAATGGGTTGATAAATGGCTAATTTCTCTAACTATTAATTGTATTATCATTTTACAAACAGCGTGACAGTTTGCTTGATGGGGCGTGCTAAAATTTTGTGTGTTGGTTATCATTTTGCTCATCGATTGGATTATATATAATCAATACTTAGTTTTTTGCATTTGAAACTTTTTATACAACAATAGCCTGATAATTTTTACTGACCAATCACATTGAAAATTGTTGACCGAAGTACAGCATTTGTATGTCAGCAGCAACACGTGGTGAGTAAAACCCGTTTTCATGTGTTCAGAAAAGCATGTAATTATATTTGTTGTGATTTGACACAAATAATGGGTTTTTAAAAAATATAAAGAAAATTTAAAAAAGAATAAAAATTAGTAAGGCTACTCTGCTTCTGTTGTACTATATATGTACGTTGCTCTATCAATATCATCATGATAGAAAGTGAAACTTGCTTAGTCCGTTCACGTGTTATTGTTGTTTATTAAATGCGATTGGTCAGTATTGTTAGTGGTAATGCTGGGTTCTGTGTTTCATATGCAAAGTATTATTGATTCCATTGAAATCAAACATCCAATCGATGAGTAAAATGATAATCAGGCATACGAAATTTTAGCACGCCCTATCAAGCAAACTGTCACACTGTTAGTAAAACGATAGTAACATAATTTCAATGTATACAGAGAATCTCACCAGCCACTCTTGAGAAGTGCCTCTGCTCTGGTCTGCAGGAGAGCAAAGAACCGGAGTTTATACAGGAGTCTGTCCTCCCTGTCAGGATCCACGCGGGGACAGTACACATTGATAATGGCCAACTCCGATTCTTGTCCATCTCTTTTTCTGGAAGTGTAATGTAAACATTCCATAAATTTTAGAATTATAGTTGAATACTTAACTACAAATCGTTATACATGTTAAGAGGAATAATTAAATCCAAGCTGAATCAAAAGCACAGAATGATTTGAACTGATCTCTTTGCACAACAAAGAGCTGCATCCAATGTTTTTCATCTTACAAAGTTATGGATAATTTTTGGCAATAACCTTGAACTTGCCTTGACCTTGGGTAAAGGTCCTGATATCATGCTTGGTAATGATGGCCCTTCCAAATCTAGATCCCTGTTACATGATTTTGTGCTTGGTAATGACTGTCCTGCACATGTCCTCTAAATCTATATGCCTGTTACCTGATTTTGTGCTTGCATGGTAATGACTGCCTAGTCCTCTAAATGTAGATCCCTGTGCTTGGTATTGACTGTCCAGTCCTGTTACCTGATTTTGTGCTTGGTAATGACTGCCTAGTCCTCTAAATCTAGATCCCTGTTACCTGATTTTGTGCTTGGTAATGACTGCCCTGTCTTCTAAATCTAGATCCCTGTTACCTGATTTTGTGCTTGGTATTGACTGTCCTGTCCTGTTACCTGATTTTGTGCTTGGTATTGACTGTCCTGTCCTGTTACCTGATTTTGTGCTTGGTAATGACTGCCCTGCCCTCTGAATCCAGAGCCTCTAACTCGTCACTGGAAAACTCACTAACATCACCATAGTGACCCACTTTTCCGTCCACTTTGGGGTTCAGATCTTTATACAGACCTTCCTCGGCTTCTGTTGGGGTCGCAGAACTTTTACAAAATGTCGCCACACCTAGAATTTACATGTAAACAAATAAAGTCAATTATTGATTATGACTTATATCACAGAGTTATGGTACATAAATAATAAGATGTAAACTGCCCCTTAACAAACTCTGAAGAGTCTGTAGATTTACTGATTTGTACTCATAATAATGAAGAAAAAAGCTGCATTTATATTCCAAACACTTGCTTTTCTTCCAATACTAGTCAGTTCATGATCAGTGATATTACTATGCTACGCTATGACATATATTTTATGTTCCATCTCTCAAAAGTGTGTCTCTCAGTTTATCCCACGTTTTTTCAGACTTTCTCCCATGACATTTCATATACTTAGCCAATTTTTGGTAAGTGAATCTTTCTGAATTAGTTACATATCTAGTTCACATTTCATTCTACTTTGATATTCCATGGAGTTATGATCTCAAGTATCACATTTTTAGACCAGTATATAATCTCTACTGGTCAAGAGTCGGGATGTCAGCTGATCCAGTGGTAAAGTGTCAAACAACTTACATTACTCTTATACAGCCTCCATAATTATGAATTATGATGAGGTTTTTTAAAATTCTGTACCATGTTTTATCAAAACGGACCAAAACTAAAGGAGGTGTAAAATTTTGAAAGTTGGAAGTGTTCACTTGCATTGGTAGCTAGAAGGATGATGGACACTTGACTGGTTCATTTAGACCTTCATCGGGCCAGTAGAGATTATATACCAGTAATTATATACATGTATAATACTGGTTGGAAAAAGTGATACCCGGTACAAAAAATTATGTTGAGAGAAAAGTGTCAAATGCATATACATGTAAATATGCACTACAATAATAATATTTACAAAAAATATAGTATATGTAATAGTTCAATTATTTTTGACAAATACAGATGTCATAATTGTATACAACTGTATATAATTTTACCAGAATATCCACTGCGTTTCTTTGAGAATGAGAAGTAGGAATTATAGCCTTCTACAATTGCTGTGGGCTCATCTAGCATGTCTCCTGCAATAAGTTTACAGTGAATGTTTATTTTAGATCTTAGATCATAAGTGCAACAATGCAGTTTCCTTACCCCAATATCTATAATATACATGCAGTTACAATAAACCTGTAAGACAGAGGTTAAATATCTTCCTGTATTTTGAGCAAGGCCACTAGCTTTTGTATTTGCCTAAATAATATGAATAATATACTTTGTAGTATACAATACTCCCATGATTCACCCCCACCCATCCTTTAGACAGTCCAATATAAACCTTTTGTGATTTCCGTGTCTCGGTTTTGGGGGCTGAAGATCTTTCAGGAATAAGGAGGGAGGAATGTGGTGGTCAGATAGTCAGATAGTGGCCAGTGGCCAGATAGCTAAGTTGGTAGAGCACCTGACTGGAGTAGGGCTGTATCAATATATCAATATATCGATATCGATATCGTATCGATATTCAAGAAGAATATCGTATCAAGAAATAACTTCTAATATGTATCGGACAGACAGTTTTCCTTCTAATTCTGTTACAAAGATGGGAATTTCAATCACCAAAGATAATAGATTATATTTCACTTTTTTGCATTAAACATGTGATTTTACTGCCATTCAAAGTTTTAATTTTTGAAGTGTTATTTGTAATGACAATGAGACAAGAACTTTAAAATGGGTAATAAATCATTTACCGGTAATTGTTATGAAATTCATGCATTAAAATGATTTAGAAGCCTTTTCTGATGGACTTGTTTTAGAATCCAATATATCGCATATTGCTTTAAAAAATATTGTATCGTATCGTATCGAAATTTTTGGCTCTATACACAGCCCTAGACTGGAGATTCAGGGGGGCTAGGGTTCGAATCATGGTCTGCTGCATTTCTCTCCTCTCCATTACCAGTGGCGGATTCAGGGGGGTTGGGGGGGGGGGGGGTCAGGAACCCACGCTCCCCCACTCATTAATTTTTTTTTTTTTTACAAGTGTCATTTTATCATTTTGTTGCATTGATAAGACTCTAATAAACACGAATCCATTGTTCTGGACAACTGTGAAATGAACATCTACTACATAACAGGAAATACACAGGTAATCAACAGAGAGATTAGGGTAGTCCGTGCATCTTGTCAGAAGGTCATATACATGTACAAAACCTGTAGCCAGGTACCAACAACAGAGAACTGCATAGTTACGGTGCTGCTCAGTAATACTTTTGCTGATAAAATGCATGTTTTTTAAAACTATTTGAATAAACTATTATTCAGTACCTTTTTATCGTTAAAAAAAAATTAATAAATACCACTTTTTTTCTTTACAAAATCAGACGGGTTTAGCAAAACCCTCTAGTTTTGACAGTTTCTTCAGTTTACGTATTTTTTTTTCTCCAGTTTGAAATATCATTAATAATATATGTGTGTTTATATTCCGAATCATATTGACAGTAAAATCAAGTAAATTGAAAAGCACTAGTAAGGGATTCTGAAAAGAATTATTTTTTTTAATTTTTGAAAGTGTTTAAAAATTGCACATCAGTTGTATCTTTTTTTTAAAGAGTTTATTTGTACTTTCACACAAATTACACAAATACACATCAGTTGTATCTTAGAAGTCAGATTGACTTCGTTACGACACAATTAATCTGTGCATTTAAAATAAAGACAATTTGAAGTCAACTGCTTGTATTTCTACAATTGTCAGATTTAACATTTTCTAAATTTAAAGCAAAGTCTTGTGTTAAAGTTAAATTAAATTGAAACATTTTATTTTTCTAAATTCTTAAAAATTTGTGATGATCGGCAGGGGCGTAGCTAGACAAAAATGATGTGCACGCCAAAAAAGGCAGGGGGTGTGGGGGCCGCCTTGAGGCCCCCAGTGGGCCCAGGGGGCGAAGCCCCCGGAAGCTCCTGGGTTTTCACGTTTAGACTGAACAAAATTTACGCAATTTTTAAATATATAACATATGCTACGAGATGAAGTCAACTTCGCGATATTTTGATTTATGACACCAAAAAATAATAGATCTATTAATATTTAAAAAATATTTATGTTTTTTTTTATAAAATCAAGTGCATTGTCTGAATTTTTGTGATTACTTTAAAAAGGTATTTTTAGTTCCATTTTTTGTCTAATATTTAAATAATGAAATTAAAACAAAACAATTTCAATCCAGCAAATTTAATTTCCCCAAAACGTGCGGCGTCATGTTTCGTGTATTAACTATAGGTATTACATATAACGTTAGGCCTGCAGGCATAGTAAGTTTACACAGAATCTTTTAGGAATTTAATTTTTATATGACGATATAATCAATTTTTTTATAATAAATTTTATAAAAATGCACAGTAATTTTTTTTTGGACTAAACGATGTGCACGCCATGGCGTGCTGGCGTATAGGCACCTACGCCCCTGATCGGTCTTAAAAAAAGCTACAAAGAGTACCAAAAAATGCACCATTTAGAACCATTTAAAACAATTTTTTCTCGGGAGAGGCCCCCCAAACCCCCACCTATGGGAGGGGGACAACCCCTCCCATGCCCTACCCCTTCGGCCCTTTGGGTCTAACCCCCCCCCCCACATGAACTTCTGGATCCGCCACTGATTACAAGTGCAAGGAAATAATTTGTGATGCTTCTCTTATGTGGAGGACACCAAACATGTTCTCTCCCTTCAGATGACAATAAGTTGAATAACACTATCCAGTATGCTTGGTGACTAAGTGTTAAATAATTATAATTGTATCTTTTCAAACATGTTAAATGACAAAAAAAAGTGTGGGATAAAATAAGTGGGAAAAATAACTCTGAAAAAATTAAACATGCAGTATTGATAAAATATAATCCAACAAAAATCATGTCAAATCCAAATAAAAATTTTTAGTTGGTTAAAAAATGTTTCTAGAGTGGGACTTATTAAATTATTTACTTGTGACTTTTGTTTCTTGGAGGCATATTACATCTGCATCAAGAGAATTGAACAATGAAGACAACTCCACTTTACTGGCACGGATTCCGTTTATGTTCCATGTTAACAACTTCATCTTCTAACCAGATCTGTGAACACAATGACTTATGGCTAGGCTAGGCCTATCAAAGTTCCCCCTTAATTAAAAAAAAATATACATGTACATTTAGCAACAAACATAGTTGGTCTCTTGTAACAATATTGATTTTCAAGAAGAATATATAAATATTAAAATAATTATAAAATCGTAGATCTATATTTACCATGATCTAAACTTTAATCAAAGCGTACAAGGAACTATTCGTTTGTGCAATATATTTTACTTGCTATTATAGAGAATGTGTCAAAATTGCATACAACGTAGATGAATAAGACTGAATTAAACAAGTTAATTAATTAAAATTATCAAAGGGTGATATAAACAGATTCTTTTACTTATTACAATGTTAAGAGTAAATATATCTCCACTTGTTTAATTTTTCCCGCCATTTTATTTCGAAAACGAAACTTGGAAAAACGACATAATTTACCAGAAAGGTAAAAAAGCGTTAAAACCTTTTTAAACTTCTGTTTAGTTTTTTTTAAGGAAATTGATATTTTATTTTCTTTAAAATGAAGCGTAAAATGTTTGACAGGTTCTTTAGAGGCAAGATAAAATATATTACAGCACCACAGAGCTTCAATGAATCCACTGAAAAAAAAGTTAATGCGCACAAAGAAAATGTTTCTCAGTTTATTTCTCCGTGTTTAAGTGTTGTTTTTTACAACACATTCTCTATCAGTTTATGGTGCTCTAACTATCCCTTTATTATTATACCCCCGCTTGAAAAGCGGGAGGATATATATTTATCAGTATGTTCATCCATCCGTCTGTCTGTCTGTCCGTCTGTTGGGGTATCCATCTCTTATTCGCAACTCCTCTCATACCACTGAATGAAATTTCATGAAACTTTCACAGAATCTTAATTACATATTCATATTGCCATTGTCCACCTACTATTTTACTTTCTAATCCGACACATATTTTGGGTTTCCCATAGCAATTAAAACACGGACATTGCCATTATATTCATATGGGAGGCGGGGGTATCATTCAGTGAGATCATTGCTCACAGTACCTGTAGTTTTTTAGCTCTAATATACAAAAAGTCTTATGCGAAAGTTACTGTTAAATTTGTCCGTCTGTAAACAATTTTTCAAAACACTACTCCTCCTACAATTTTAGTTTGATTTCAGTATAACTTGGCACACAAGTTCTAAGATACATAGAATAGTGCATCGGTTTTTGATTTCGAAATGGTGTTGCCATGGTTACTAAAAATAGAATTTTTGTGAAATTCCTTAAAAATGCTTCCTTCTACAGTCTTGGGCTGATTTCAATATAACTTGGCACACAAGTAATTAAGATACATAGAATAGTGCATTGGTTTTTGTGTGAATGATGTTGCCATGGTTATAAAAAAGTATTTTTGTGAAATTTTAAAAACGTACTCCTTCTACAGTTTTTCTGATTTCAATATAACTTGGCAGACAAGTAGACTACACTAAGATACATAGAATAGTGCATCGGTTTTTGATTTCGATAAACTGTGTTGCCATGGTTACTAAAAATAGAATTTTCTGTAAAATTCCTTAAAAACGCTATTCCTTCTACCTGATTTCAGTATGGCACACACTGAATGAAATTTCATGAAACTTTCACTAAAAATAGAATTTTCTGTGAAATTACATACTCCTTCTACAGTTTTGCCATTGATATAACTTGGCAGACAAGTAGACTACACTAAGATACATAGAATAGTGCATCGGTTTTTGATTTCGATGAACATATTGCTATGGTTACTCAAAATAGCAATTAAAACACGGACATTGCCATTATATTCATATGGGAGGCGGGGGTATCATTCAGTGAGATCATTGCTCACAGTACCTGTAGTTTTTTAATTCAAACATTATAACCTTGCTAATAGCTTAAATTTCCTAGCCTTGAAATTGAGACTTTCTCCAATTTATTGCCATTTTGCATGCAGATGTCAACTGCAAGAGAATTGGATAATTCAATGCAGAATTGAGGCAAATTTTTGTGCCAAATCAGACCATCTTTAAATTGTTTGTTTGCTCTCTCCTGACCAACTGGCTATAGAATTGCCTGATTAACTTTTTTAACCCCCAGGAAACATTTTTCCCCCAAAGTGGTTCCAAATTTTCTCAATCTGTCAACCTGTACTATGTTGAAATTTTCTAAGAAAATATCGCTACCTATCTACTGATCCAATTTTTTTTCCCTGAGTCAGGAGATGGCCAGTCAATCTTATTTTAAAGATGGCCTAAATATGAAGTTTTCAAATCAGTTTTGTCGGACATACCTGTGGGCTGCAGCTAGTTTAGAAATAGCAGCCTTGATCAAGATAACAGATTTGCAACTCTGTCAAAGTGATAAACACGTTTATTACATGTATTAGTAAAAATATGATCAAATATCGTGTAGAGTAAAAGATAAAGACAATGAACACTAATTAATCTTGTAAATCCAATTAAAGAAGGAATTCTGAACAGGACAAAAATATGGACCCCTTGAAACTCCTGGTGTGAGATCAGGCGCCTAGAATTAGGCAATGGTGACTGGTCAAACACACACACCTGAATATAAAGGATGTGAAGATACATCTACTATACTGGATGATTGAACATACCGTATGCGTATATACTCGCCTATAAGTCAGTTTTTTGGGAGTTAAAATTTGCTCCAAAACTCTGTGTCCGACTTATAGGTGAGTTATAGAAACAGTAGTATTTTTCTGGACGATGAAAGGTACAACATAGTATTTTACAAATAATCCAGCCGATTATCGTTAATCAAAGTCTACATATTAAATCATTTTTGTATTCCAAGATTATGCATTAAGTACAAGTGTTTATAAATTTTATTTGCTTAATTTTTATGTTAAGTGTGCGTTACTTATTTTTAGCTCACCTGAGCCGAAGGCTCAAGTGAGCTTTTCTGATCAAAATTTGTCCGTCGTCGTTGTTGTTGTTGTCGTTGTCGTTAACTTTTCACATTTTCATCTTCTCCTCAAGAACCACTGGGCCAATTTCAACCAAACTTGGCACAAAGTATCCTTGGGTGAAGGGGATTCAAATTTGTTCAATTGAAGGGCCACGCCCTTTTCCAAGGGGAGATAATCATGAATTAGAGAAAAATTATTGGCATTTTTAAAAAATCTTCTTCTCAAGAACCACTGGGCCAGGAAAGATGAAACTCATGTGGAATCATCCTCAGGTAGTGTAGATTTAAGTTTGTTCAAGTCATGACCCCCAGGGGTAAGGCGGGGCCAAAATGGCCGATCAAAGTTTTACATAGTAATATATAGGAAAAATCTTTTAAAATCTTCTTCTCAAGAACCACTGGGCCAGGAAAGATGAAACTCATGTGGAATCATCCTCAGGTAGTGTAGATTCAAGTTTGTTCAAGTCATGACCCCCGGAGGTAGGGCGGGGCCAAAATGGCCGATCAAAGTTTTACATAGGAATATATAGGAAAAATCTTTGAAAATCTTCTTCTCAAGAACCACTGGGCCAGGAAAGATGAAACTCATATGGAATCATCCTCAGGTAGTGTAGATTTAAGTTTGTTCATGTCATGACCCCGGGGGTAGGGCGGGGCCAAAATGGCCGATCAAAGTTTTACATATGAATATATAGGAAAAATCTTTTAAAATCTTCTCAAGAACCACTGGGCCAGGAAAGATGAAACTCATACAGGTAGTGTAGATTTAAATATATAGGGCGGGGCCAAAAAAAAGTTTTACATAGGAATATATAGGAAAAATCTTTTAAAATCTTCTCAAGAACCACTGGGCCAGGAAAGATGAAACTCATATGGAATCATCCTCAGGTAGTGTAGATTTAAGTTTGTTCATGTCATGACCCCCGGGGGTAGGGCGGGGCCAAAATGGCCGATCAAATTTTTACATAGGAATATATAGGAAAAATCTTTAAAAAATCTTCTTCTCAAAAACCATTGAAACAGGAAAGATGAAACTCATGTGAAATTATCCTCAGGTAGTCTAGATTCAAGTTTGTTCAAGTCATGACTAGGGTAAGGGTGTGGCAAAAATGGCCGACCACAGTTTTACATAGAAATATATAGGGAAACCTTTTTAAATCTTCTTTTCAAGTACTTCAAAGCCAGGATTAGTAATATTTATATGAAATCATCCTCAGGTAATGTAGATTCTAGTTCATTCAAATTATGATCCCCTTGGTGGTTAAAATTCAAGCCCCCCCCCCCCCCCCCCCCCTCAGTAAACTTTCAGTTCTGATCTGATATGTGTTTTTTCCGAGCTGATGTGCTCAGGTGAGCGCTGTGGCCCCTGGGCCTCTTGTTTTTTTTATGAATTAAGATTAAATACCTGCATCATTTTGAAATAAAATATCGATTGAAACCAGGTTAAGACATTGGATATTGTAAAACAATTATGGCAAAAACTTGTACCGACTTATAAATGGGTCAAGGGCAAATTCCTCTAAAATAAATGCAAAAAATATAACCGACTTATAGGTGAGTATATACTGTAAAAGTTTTTGGAGCAAGTCCATTAAAATACACATGTACTAGTAAATACCGTATAAGTGGAAATTTTAGCGAGACGCAGATTAAGCGATTTGTCCTTAAAAATGGGTACCGGTATTTAATTTTTAGCGAGAATTTATTTTAGAGATATTAAGAAGCTCACTAAAGAGGCCATTACAAATAAAACGCAATTAATTTTCAGCAATATTTAATTTTAGCGATCTCAGCACCCTCGCTAATAACGCCAAAATTAAATCCTCACTAAAAATTCTGCTTATTCGGTAGCTCTTACTCAGATACTGTGAATTAAATCATAAATTTTCATTGGGATTTAATTTTCCTTGTTTTCTTGGTATGAAGAAACCCACAAATTTATGTCCACCAGGAAAATTAAAATGTTGCACACATAATTACTCAACCCTTCTTCATCCATGAAATCAAATCCCCAGGAACCAAGAGTTTTTAGCTCACCTGAGCCAAAGGCTCAAGTGAGCTTTTCTGATCACAATTTGTCCGTTGCCTGTCGTCGTCGTTGTAAACTTTTCACATTTTCATCTTCTTCTCAAGAACCACTGGGCCAATTTCAACCAAACTTGCTACAAAGTATCCTGGGGTAAAGGGGATTCAAGTTTGTTCAAATGAAGGGCCATGCCCTTTTCCAAGGGGAGATAATCATGAATTAGAGAAAAAATAATGGCATTTTTAAAAAATCTTCTTCTCAAGAACCACTGGGCCAGGAAAGATGAAACTCATGTGGAATCATCCTCAGGTAGTGTAAATTCAAGTTTGTTCAAATCATGACCCCCGGGGGTAGGGTGGGGCCAAAATGGCCGATCAAATTTTTACAAAGGAATATATAGGAAAAATCTTTAAAAATCTTCTTTTCAAGAACCACTGGGCCAGGAAAGATGAAACTCATGTGGAATCATCTTCAGGTAGTGTAGATTCAAGTTTGTTCAAAGCATGACCCCTGGGGGTAGGGTGGGGCCAAAATGGCTGATCAAAGTTTTACATAGGAATATATAGGAAAAATCTTTAAAAATCTTCTCCTCAAGAACCACTGGGCCAGGAAAGATGAAACTCTCATGTGGAATCATCTTAGGGTGGGGCCAAAAGGTAGTGAATATATAAATTCAAGAACCATTGAGACAGGAAAGATGAAACTCTTGTGGAATCATACCCAGGTAATGTAGATTCAAGTTTCTTCAAATCATGACCCCCTGGGATAGGGTGGGGCCAAATGGCTGATAAAAGTTTTAAATAGGAATATATAGGGAAACCTTTTAAAATCTTCTTTTCAAGTACTTCAAAGCCATGCTTAGTGATATTTATAGGGAATCATCCTCAGGTATTGTAGATTCTAGTTTGTTCAAATCATGACCCCCTGGGGCGTTAAAATTCAACCCCCCCCCCCCCCCTGATCTGATATGTGCTTTTTTCTAGCCAATTGCTCAGGTGAGCGATGTGGCCCCTGGGCCTCTTGTTTCTCAAACCATGAAAATTTGACCCTACAAAAAAACGATATTTTACAGTATCTGGCATCTAGCAATGCACATTTCCAGAACATTTGTTTGGTTTGAGACCTAACACAACAAATTATCTTTATTACTTTTGAAAAAAGGATAACAAATTGTATTCCAGTACATGCTGTAGCCATATATATACATGTATTCCACAGTGAACAAAATTTTAATATACTATAAAGATTGTGCTGATCAAATTACTTTTATTTTAACCAGCATTATGGAGGACATCCAGTCTTTGACAGATAAGGAATTGGTCGATGAATTACGAATGCTTGGAGCAAATCCTGGTCCAATTATTTGTGAGTACATTATATACATGGTAATTGATGGACATTTAAATCTAACTTGAACACAGTGGGACCAAGAAAAAACAGAGAGAGATATCTGTGGATTCGAAATATCAAGGGTATAAAACACATAAAGATCACTGGTTGAACCTTCCAAGTCACTTCAACATATCCATGGTTTTTAAGATATTGATGTCTGATGTATCTAAGTTTAACTTTATTAAAATTTTTGCTTAAATAATTTTGTAATACTGATTCAGTCAGTCTTTTAGTATGTAGTATCAACAGTAGAGTAAGACAATAAAAAAAAACTGCTGGAAAACAGAAGTGGGGAGTTGGATTAATGATTATGTTTTCTATTTCTATAGCTTCAACAAGAAGTGTGTATGAGAAAAGATTACTGAAACTCAGGACTGGGGGAAGTTTGAACACAAAACCAAGCTCTAAAAAACATTATTGTAAGTTAGTTTTAGTACCTTTACTTCTGAGTAAACCAGAAAGCAATTACAGATAATTTGAGTATTTTATAACCAGTTATTACATCTTGTTTCCAGCTGAAGTACCAGATGATGAGGACCAGTCGTAAGTTACATGTTTTGGTAATGAATACACTTAAAATAAGGATATGCGAAAGAGACAGTACCCTGCAAAATGTTTTTTCTCCTTCAAATTTACCCAATTTATTATTAAGCAATAAGGTATATGAAGTGGTTGTTGACAGTTTGAGAATCAATGCCCAATAGGGCAAATAATTCAAAAATTATAAAATCCTCCAGAAATCCAAGGGTCATACAAATCAAGGCAATCTTACATCTGTTTATTTGTACCCTGTGAGATCTGAATGTCATGTTTCTAAAGTTTACAATAATTGTTAGTAACAGAATATGAGGTGAGAGCAATTCTCAAAAGCATATTGCCAAAATATTATTTTTCTGGGGAAAAAATTATTAATTCTGTACTGTTACAGATGCATTTTAAAGAATTAAAAGTACAAATTTTTCAAGTGTTGATGCTTACTATATTGGGTCCTGATAAGGAAAACTATAGTGTTCTGATAGAGCAATTTGCAAAAGTGATATACTAGCGAGTAAATTCACCAATGTGAAAAGAAAAGTGTTGATGCATTAATTTACAATGTCACTTCATGCTTGAGTGTTGTCACTTCACATTGGTGCAGTATCACCTAAAAGAGTGCAACAGCACATAAATAGCAATGCATCGATGCAAAACGACACTATGTACCCATGTATAAATTTTGAGAAAATGTCATTAAGACAAATAATGTTTAGGATGGGCATCTTCTAATATAGAGGAGAAAAATTTGAAACTTAAAATTCAATTTACAAGAAACTCTCTGCATCAGATTTCTTTTTAAGAGGGCATCCAACATATTACCTGGTACTTGAAATTCATATGATGAAGAAGCAACTTTTTAGCTCACCTGAGCCGAAGGCTCAAGTGAGCTTTTCTGATCAAAATTTGTCCGTTGTCTGTCGTTGTCGTAGTCGTCGTTGTCGTCGTCGTAAACTTTTCACATTTTCATCTTCTTCTCAAGAACCACTGGGCCAATTTTAACCAAACTTGGCACAAAGTATCCTTGGGTGAAGGGGATTCAAGTTTGTTCAAATGAAGGGCCACACCCTTTTACAAGGGGAGATAATCATGAATTTGTTAAAAATTAATGGCATTTTTAGGTCACCTGAGTAAACTCAGGTGACCTATTGCTATCACTTTTCGTCCGTCGTCGTCCGTCGTTTGTCGTTCGTCGTTCGTCGTGCGTTAACATTTGAACATTTTCAGCTTCTTCTCTGAAACCACTGAACCAATTTCAACCAAATTTGGCATATAGTATCTATGGGTGAAGGGGAACAAAAGTTGTGAATTTCATGGTCCCTGCCCCCCAGGGGCCTGGGGGGTCGGGCAAAAACCACTAAAATAAGTGCAATCTTTAAAAATCTTCTTCTTTACTCCTGGACATCAAGCAGTCAAACTGTTTGCATGATTGTAATCAGCATTGAATCCTCTACCAAAATTGTGAAATTCATGGCCCCGGGGTCAGGGGTTCTGGTGTTAGGGTGGGGCTAAATAAGTGTATAGTGAAATTTCATGAGTTCTTTGAAAATCTTCTTCTCTGCTCCTGGGTAATAAATAAACTAAATAAGTGCATAGTTATGATGAGCAAGAGTGCCTCTACCAAAATTGTGAATTTTATGGCCCCAGGGTCAAGGGTTCTGACGTTAGGGTGGGGCTCTATAGATTATATAGTGAAATTTCATGAATTCTTTGAAAATCTTCTTCTCTGCTCCTGGGTAATAAATAAACTAAATAAGTGCAAAGTTATAATGATGAGCAAGAGTGCCTCTACCAAAATTGTGAATTTTATGGCCCCAGGGTCAGGGGTTCTGGTGTAAGGGGGGGGGTCTATAGATTATATAGTGAAATTACATGAATTCTTTGAAAATCTTCTTCTCTGCTCCTGGGTATTAAATAAATTAAATAAGATCATAGTTATGATAAGCAAGAGTGCCTCTACCAAAATTGTGAATTTTATGGCCCCAGGGTCAGGGTTTCTGGTGTTAGGGCAGGGCTCGATAGTTTATATAGTGAAAATACATGAATTCTTTGAAAATCTTCTTATCTGCTCCTAGGAATAAAATAAACTAATTACATAGTTATGATGAGCAAGAATACATCTTCCAAAATTGTGAATTTTATGGCCCTTGGGTCAGGGGTTCTTGTGATGTGACGGGCTCTATTGATTATATAGTGAAAATACATTGAATCTTTGAAAGTTTTCTTCTCTGCTCCTTGCCCTTAAGCAGATGAACTACCTATATAGTTATGATGAGTAAGGGTACTAATCTTCCAGAATTGTGAATTTCAAGGTCCCATGGTCAGTGGTACCATACAGGAGGGGGCTGTACTTATATACTGAAACTGGATGAATTGTTTGAAATATGCTCCTTGGTATTAATCAAATATTTTTGAAAAGCAAGGAGGCCTTTTCAGAAATTGTGCAATTTTTGGATCTAGGCCTAAGGGTCAGGGGTTCATGTGTGATTGGGGCATTACTGATCATGCTGAATATTACTGATTACTTGAAATGCATTTTTTGTTCCCCTTCCCTGCCTACGGGTATTAAGTAAACAAACTAAGCAACTGCTAAGTGTATTGATATGATGATCAATGGTGCCTCTTTCAAAATTGTGAATGCCATAGCATCTGGCTTAAAACATGAATCAAATTCAATCACTGGAAAGTTGTTGCATAATGCTCAGGTGACCTATAAGGCCCATGGGCCTCTTGTTAAAAAATCTTCTTCTCAAGAACCGCTGGGCCAGGAAAGATGAAACTCATGTGGAAGCATCCTCAGGTAGTGTAGATTCAAGTTTGTTCAAATCATGACCCCCGGGGCAAGGGTGGGGCCAAAATGGCCGACCCAAGTTTTACATAGGAATATATAGGAAAAATCTTCTTCTCCAGTAGCACTGCGCCAGGAAAGATGAAACTCATGTGGAATCATCCTCAGGTAGTGTGGATTCAAGTTTGTACAAATCATGACCCCTGGTGCAAGGGTGGGGCCAAAATGGCCAACCCAAGTTTTACATAGGAATATATAGGAAAAATCTTTTAAAAATCTTCTTCTCAAGAACCACTAGGCCAGGAAAGATGAAACTCATGTGGAATCATCTTCAGGTAGTGTAGATTCAAGTTTGTTCAAATCATGACCCCTGGTGCAAGGGTGGGGCCAAAATGGCCGACCCTAGTTTTACATAGGAATATATAAGAAAAATCTTTAAAAATCTTCTTCTCAAGAACCACTAGGACAGGAAAGATGAAACTCATGTGGAATCATCCTCAGATAGTGTAGATTCAAGTTTGTTCAAATCATGACCCCTGGGACTAGGGTGGGGCCAAAATGGCCGACCCAAGGATATATAGGGAAACCTTTTAAAATGGCCGACCCAAGGATATATAGGGAAACCTTTTAAAATCTTCTTTTCAAGTACTTCAAAGCTATGATTAGTGATATTTATATGGAATCATCCTCAGGTAGTGTAGATTCTAGTTTGTTCAAATGATGAACGCCTGGAGGGGGGGGGGGGGTGGAGTAAATTCAAGCCTGATGTGCTCAGGTGAGCGCTGTGGCCCCTGGGCCTCTTGTTTTGTAAGAGAACCATTAATGAATTAGCTGTTCAGATTGATTCTAAGTGTAACATTGGTTTGGTTCTTCAGATATATTCTTTTAAAGCAAGCATCTTTGCGTTAGGGAATAGATCATAGAAATTCAAGGCATGTTATATAAATATATTTGAATTTTGTTAATTTGTAAACAATCAAACTCTGAGATTTAAGTGATTTATAAGTTAAAATGTGATGAAAAAGAATATTATTGCAGCATGATGCTTTTCTGATTACTAATCATAATGGGTTAACCACTCTATTGCTTCATACAAACACAAATTATGGTACCTGTATTACTAATTTTATAGGCCCGCACCTAAACCCAGGTCTCCCAGACTGAGGAAGAGAGTAGTACCAAAGCCAGAACCTGAAGAAGCAGATGAAATGGATGACAGGTAAAATATGTTTATTATACAGGTTGTCAACGGTAGTATACTTAAAGCATGTACTAGTCATAATTTGTTTCAATCAGCTGTTGGAACTTAGACCCACCCTTTTTGTGGTGGAATCTTGGTTTCTATCAGATTGTGCAGTTTTGTGTGATTTACATTTGATCACGAGTTGCATTCACAGAAATAAACAATACCTGTCTAATCATTGACTAATCATGCAGTTCCACAAGATTTTATACATGTATAATTCCAATCTTCATTTTATGTATTGAATTCCTGTGTTTTGATTGGACGAGAACACGTTTAAGAAAAAATTTACACATCGATAAAATTTTTCAATCAGAACTACTTTCTTGATAAAGCTTCTAGGTTATCGTATAAACAATGATTGAATGAAAGCAGTTATTTCTGGTCTGTTTTGGCTAAATTATGAATACAAAAAACTTCAAATTTAATTAATTAAAACAAAACTGGCGACAAACTGGATTGCCCAGCTGACGGACGCCATGAAAATGTTTATGTCACTCTCCGATCACCATGCAGTGTGAATATTTAAAAAAACGCTGTCTCGACATTCATAATACGAAGAAAATTAGCTCAGTTTGTATCGTTTTGACAGGGAAACGAAACGTACCTCAAACTCTTGCCATATTAGCATCAAATTCATATTTACTTTCTATATTGTTCCGCAATCTTTTAACAAACAAGTGCAAATCGAAGGCGTCGTCGGTCTGCAACTTTCGCTATGAGAGTTGTCGTTCATGTCAACATGGCCATGGTCAAGGACGAACTATTCTGAAGTAACTCGTAATTACGATATTTGTTGACTTAAACAATATTCGATGAGTCTTTATAAGTTTCTTTATCGATTGTTTTGACAACTTAAAGATGAACTCTATCGAAATTCATCTCGATTACGTTCCTTTGCGATAAAATGTATTCCTACGCCATCCAGAAATAACGGATTGTATGGAGGCCTCAAAGAGAAATAATTTAAATATTTTTTAAAATTCGATATTGGAATTATAAGAATTAAACGTTCTTTTTGAAAAATTTATCGATGTGTAAACTCTTGACATTTTACTCACAAACTTGATTAACATAAAAGTGCTTCGCACTTTTATTTAGTTTGTGAGTAAAATGTCAAGAGTTTACACATCGATAAATTTTTCAAAAAGAACGTTTAATCCTATAATGAAGATAAGCATTGATATGTCACAAGAGTAGACTGGTGAGAATTTATATATTAACTTCTTTAATAAGAGTAGAAATCTGTCCGAGGGTTGACCCAAATGTCATAGACATTTGACAATTCTTTTAACTTGGTAAATATTGAACCAATGCAAGCCAAATTTTGCCTAGCTATAATTTATTCAACAGGCACGTAGCAACATTTGAGGGGGGGTGGGTGGGGGGGCTGCCCCACTTTTTTCCAAACATTACTTTTACTATCATTGGAAATGTTCACTGAAAATATGGTTGCCCCCCCCCCCCCTCCCCCAACTTTATACTACAGGAAATTGATATAAGGAAATGTAGTCACTAATTGAATGAAAAAAATTTGTACTGAGAGAAGTTGGCCTCTACACCCTTTTTCAATTTCAATTGAATTTCAATTTCTCTCGCATGTCTGCACACTAGGGGTAGCTTTGGGGGCCACCGTAGGAAACCATTGGTTTACATGGGAATATGTAGGCTTGGCCATTATAAGGGATATAAATAGGTACAGGGAGGCATCCTCAAGTACTTTGCATTAAGTTTATTTCATGCAAACAATACTGTGGCCAAATAGTTTTTTGTTTGTTTCGATCCATGCTCTTATTCTTACTGTAATACACATATACATTAAGATATACATTAAGATTTGAATGTTAAATCTTCCATATCTGTGTTTTTTAAATTGTCTATGTCTGATATTTATTCCTTTATAAAGTTATATTTGTATACTTCAGTGGTGCCCCAGATTTTGGAGATGAAGAGCCTGATGAGAAATCTACAGGAGAATCTGGGTCAGCACCGCAGCCAGCGGGGGGCGTGGCCACGTACGCCAAGATCCTCATCTTCATCATTGTCCTCTTCTTTGTTTATCTGGTCTACATCAACATGGAACCATCATCTGGAAACAGGGTGCCCAAGATCAAAGGCTGACCATTAATTTGTTCTGCCAACTTATGGACTGTGATTTCACAACAATGTTCTGTTTTACCAGTAAATATGTGCAATTTGGCTTGCCTATGTAAACATTTTGGTAGCGTAATTGTAGCGGTGTATTTAATTCATACATATATGTATGTATTTATTTTTAGTCTGATAAAAACAAGAGATTATGTATTAATTTTGGTTATATTTGAACAATAAATTGTCAAGATATAAATATTGTAAAATCAAAATGTCTGAAATGGATTCTTCACCGTCTTTTACCAGAGTTAATCCAAAAGACGTGTCCTATATAACTGCTCTAAAATCTTTCATAATCAGATGACGTACGGATGTTTGTATCAAATTGAATTTTTGATTTTTGTTTGATTAATATAAAATACTTTTGATTAATATAAAATACTTTTTAAAAAATATTAATGCCCTTCCTACAGAAATTACTCTAATATATCAGATTCAGAATGAGTGTTGAAGAGAAAAGTTATAATGTCACTACATTCTTGCTAGGCGGCAATATACGAGACCCAACATTGTGTTTATCGATATTTCATAGAGTACCGGTATTCCATACATCTGAAAAACCAGAAGTCTCTGTCGAGACTGAAGTTCTACTGGTTTGAACTTATAGCAAAGGAAGAGAAAAGTACTTAAGCAGCTGGGATTTGAAACTAAATAGAATAATGATCGTTGATAAAGTCTCTTTATGTTCTTAGTTTAGTCTACTTGTTTGCCAAGTTATACTGAAATCAGACCAAAACTGTAGGAGGAGTAGCATTTTGAAACAATTTTACAGACATTTCTATTTTTAGTAACCACGGCAACACCGTTCATTAAAATTAAAATTCGATACACAGAATTATGTATCTTAGTGTATTCTACTTGTGTGCCAAGTAATATTGAAATCAGACCAAAACTGTAGGAGGAGTAGCATTTTGAAACAATTTTACAGATATTTCTATTTTTAGTAACCACGGCAACACCGTTCATCGAAATCAAAAACGATAAATAGAATTATGTATCTTAGTGTATTCTACTTGTGTGCCAAGTTATAGTGAAATCAAACCAAAACTGTAGGAGGAGTAGCATTTTGAAAGAATTTCACAGAAATTTCTATTTTTAGTAACCACGGCAACACCGTTCATCAAAATCAAAAACAGATACACAGAATTATGTATCTTAGTGTAGTCTACTTGTTTGCCAAGTAATACTGAAATCAGACAAAAACTGTAGGAGGAGTAGCATTTTGAAAGAATTTCACAGAAATTTCTATTTTTAGTAACCACGGCAACACCGTTCATCGAAATCAAAAACCGATAAACAGAATTATTTATCTTAGTGTAGTCTACTTGTGTGCCAAGTTATAATGAAATCAAACCAAAACTGTAGGAGGAGTAGCATTTTGAAAGAATTTCACAGAAATTTCTATTTTTAGTAATCACGGCAACACCGTTCATCGAAATCAAAAACCGATACACAGAATTATGTATCTTAGTGTAGTCTACTTGTGTGCCAAGTTATATTGAAATCAGACTAAAACTGTAGGAGAAGTAGCATTTTGAAAGAATTTCACAGAAATTTCTATTTTTAGTAACCATGGCAAAACCGTTCAACGAAATCAAAAACCGATACACAGAATTATGTATCTTAGTGTAGTCTACTTGTGTGCCAAGTTATATTGAAATCAGACTAAAACTGTAGGAGGAGTAGCATTTTGAAAGAATTTCACAGAAATTTCTATTTTTAGTAACCACGGCAACACCGTTCATCGAAATCAAAAACCGATACACAGAATTGTGTATCTTAGTGTAGTCTGCTTTTGTGCCAAGTTATATTGAAATCAGACTAAAACTGTAGGATCCTTGGGTTTATTAAAGGGGACCCCCTTTTCCAAGGGTAGGAGTAGCATTTTGAAAGAATTTCACAGAAATTTCTATTTTTAGTAACAACGCCAACACCGTTCATCGAAATCAAAAACCGATACACAGAATTATGTATCTTAGTGTAGTCTACTTTTGTGCCAAGTTATATTGAAATCAGACTAAAACTGTAGGAGAAGTAGCATTTTGAAAGAATTTCACAGAAATTTCTATTTTTAGTAACCACGGCAACACCGTTCAATGAAATCAAAAACCGATAAACAGAATTGTGTATCTTAGTGTAGTCTACTTGTGTGCTAAGTTATATTGAAATCAGACTAAAACTGTAGGAGAAGTAGCATTTTGAAAGAATTTCACAGAAATTTCTATTTTTAGTAACCACGGCAACACCGTTCATCGAAATCAAAAACCGATACACAGAATTATGTATCTTAGTGTAGTCTGCTTTTGTGCCAAGTTATATTGAAATCAGACCAAAACTGTAGGAGGAGTAGCGTTTTGAAAGAATTTCACAGAAATTTCTATTTTTAGTAACCACGGCAACACCGTTCATCGAAATCAAAAACCGATGCACAAAATATGTATCTTAGTGTAGTCTGCTTTTGTGCCAAGTTATATTGAAATCAGACTAAAACTGTAGGAGGAGTAGCATTTTGAAAGAATTTCACAGAAATTTCTATTTTTAGTAACCACGGCAACACCGTTCATCGAAATCAAAAACCGATACACAGAATTATGTATCTTAGTGTAGTCTGCTTTTGTGCCAAGTTATATTGAAATCAGACTAAAACTGTAGGAGGAGTAGCATTTTGAAAGAATTTCACAGAAATTTCTATTTTTAGTAACCACGGCAACACCGTTCATCGAAATCAAAAACCGATACACAGAATTATGTATCTTAGTGTAGTCTACTTGTGTGCCAAATAATATTGAAATCAGACCAAAACTGTAGGAGGAGTAGCATTTTGAAAAATTGTTTACAGACAGACAGACAGACGGACAGACAGACAGACAGACAGACGGACGGACGACGGACGCATTACTATCGCATAAGCTCTTCTGGTCTCTGACCAGTAGAGCTAAAAATTGGACAGTTAGTCCTTAATTTACATGCTCTTGATTCTGCTAATCCACATGCTACAAGCCCTGCTTCTGTCTATTTGTCCTGCCCTACACATTATTAGCTCACCTGAGCCGAAGGCTCAAGTGAGCTTTTTAGCTCACCTGAGCCGAAGGCTCAAGTGAGCTTTTCTGATCACATTTTGTCCGTCCGTCCGTCTGTCTGTCCGTAACTTTTCACATTTTCGACTTCTTCTCAAGAACCGCTGGGCCAATTTTAACCAAACTTGCCACAAAGCATCCTTGGGTAAAGGGGATTCAAGTTTGTTCAAATGAAGGGCCACGCCCTTTTCCAAGGGGAGATAATTATGAATTAGAGAAAAATTAATGGCATTTTTAAAAAATCTTCTTCTCAAGAACCACTGGGCCAGGAAAGATGAAACTCATGTGGAATCATCCTCAGGTAGTGTAGATTCAAGTTTGTTCAAATCATGACCCCCGGGGCTAGGGTGGGGCCAAAATGGCCGACCCAAGTTTTACATAGGAATATATAGGAAAAATCTTTAAAAATCTTCTTCTCAAGAACCACTGGGCCAGGAAAGATGAAACTCATGTGGAATCATCCTCAGGTAGTGTAGATTCAAGTTTGTTCAAATCATGACCCCCGGGCCTAGGGTGGGGCCAAAATGGCCGACCCAAGTTTTAAATAGGAATATATGAGAAAAGTCTTTAAAAATCTTCTTCTCCAGAACCACTGGGCCAGGAAAGATGAAACTCACGTGGAATCATCCTCAGGTAGTGTAGATTCAAGTTTGTTCAAATCATGACCCCCGGGGCTAGGGTGGGGCCAAAATGGCCGACCCAAGTTTTATATAGGAATATATAGGAAAAATCTTTAAAAATCTTCTCAAGAACCACTGGGCCAGGAAAGATGAAACTCAAGTGGAATCATCCTCAGGTAGTGTAGATTCAAGTTTGTTCAAATCATGACCCCCGGGCCTAGGGTGGGGCCAAAATGGCCGACCCAAGTTTTACATAGGAATATATAGGAAAAATCTTTAAAAATCTTCTTCTCAAGAACCACTGGGCCAGGAAAGATGAAACTCATGTGGAATCATCCTCAGGTAGTGTAGATTCAAATTTGTTCAAATCATGACCCCCGGGCCTAGGGTGGGGCCAAAATGGCCGACCCAAGTTTTAAAATAGGGATTTATAGGGAAACCTTTTAAAATCATTTTTTCAAGTACTTCAAAGCTATGATTAGTGATATTAATATGGAATCAGCTTCAGGTAGTGTAGATTCTAGTTTGTTCAAATCATGAACCCCTAGGGGGGTTAAAAGGGGGGTTAAAATTAGATTCAAGTTTGAACCCCCCCCCCCCCCCCCCCCCCAAATAAACTTTCAGTTCTGATCTGATATGTGCTTTTTCCTAGCCATTGTGCTCAGGTGAGCGCTGTGGCCCCTGGGCCTCTTGTTTTTTTTAAAACCGTGCCTATCGATGAACCAGTACATTTATGTGGACATAAAGTATATTAACTATATGTAGTTTTATCTAGGACAAAGACATTGGAAATGTAAATATTTTTGGATCAAAAATTGACCAGTCACTTCAAACACCAAGTCGCACGAGACATCTCAACTAGCTGTGACGTCACGGAGCTCATCAGAGCTAACGGAGGCAGCCGAGCGACTGGTTGAAACTACATTCCTAGTGCAATTTTGGTCGAAAAACATATTGCAGTGTTATTTTTTGTTTCTTTGAAAGATTTTTACTAAAAAGCCTTTTATGCTACGTTATTACTTATTTATTTATTTGTGCAAAGGACATTGGGTAGTAAAGGAATTCTGGGAATGTTTCGCCGAGAAATTTGCCTGTTATTTCCTCTTTCCTTACAAGTTAGTCTAATGAGCTCGCTATAATGATATAGTCAAGAGATTTCAAAAGTAGGTCACAGTGACCTTGTTTTTGTTAAAGTCCGAGACCCTTAAATGCCTCAAATAACAATTCCTCTGAAGACTTATTACTGTAGATCACTAAATTTTCGCGACACCTTATTTTCGCGAGATAGTCAATGAATCTTTATAAGCGAGACATAATTTTCACGTATTGTGAATATTTCTCTATATAATCTTAAGGAATACTATTATATGCGAGAATGAAATTTTCGCATGCTCAATGTCTCGCGTAATTACACAAAAATAAAGTTCTCGCGAATAAAAAGTGATTTACAGTATTTGAAATATTCAAACAATGCCTAGAAATTCCAAAGTAGGTCACCATGACCATCTTTTAATTCAACACATTCTGAGGACCAAAAATGCATCAACTGAACAAAGTTTCTTAGCTTTAAAGTACACTGTACCTGAAATATTTTAAAATTTCAACATATCATGATCCTTGTGTGTAAGTTTGGTGATAATCTGCCCGGTGGTTCTGGAGAACAAGATCTTTTAGCAACCAGTACTTTTGGTTTTCTTTTTCTGATTATCACACCTTGTTTAAGGGTTCCAACCCTAGTTTTAGTATAAATGGGAGCCCTTGGGTGAAGTATACCTTGTCCTGTGACAAATTTGACAATGATTGGCCAAGGGGTACTTGAGTTATGGCCCATATTCTAAAAAGTTTATGCACACCGCACAAATGGCCATAGCATTAGCAAAAGGGCATAACTCCATCAAAAATGGCGCAATTGTACCCAAAACAGAACTTGACCTAGATATATATATATATGTATGACTCCAAAGTGCAATGGTGATGCCAAAGTCTGATGGTCTGCGCCAAACTCCGATAGCTTGTTGTCTTTACGGACGCCAAAGTCGGATGGTCACATGAAGGTCCGATGGCTCATTTCAAACAAGACATGTTGCGCTAAAGTGCGATGGTCTGATACGCCAAAGTCTGATGGTGTAAAGGAACAATCAACGTTTATGACGTCACAATAGTCCGACGTCATGCATTCATATCTATTGATTTTGCATTTGTCTTGCATACAATTTTACTGATTTTGCTTAATTGTTTTCGCATACCAGAGCTATTAGGGTTAGTCCTTGTACACTATTCAACTGATATGGGTTGGTTCTTGAACACCAATGTGTTTCTTCGAACTCACTCGAGAGATTTTAAAGTTAGTCCTCGCATACTATTGGACTGATTTGGGTTAGTCCTGCACCCATCCAAGATATCTAGCTTATAGTTGTTACACATTTATTGACAGATAAGTGTTAGTCTTGCACCTATATCCAAGAGATAAGGGTCTTTGCATTTAATATTTATTAATTTCTATGTATTTTAAACAATCGAGCCTTGGTATGGTGCGGCATCGCATTTCTGCGCAATAGTACTATGATGTCATAAACGTTAATTGCTTTCAGCATCATCAGATTTGGCGTGTCAAACCATCAGTGTTTGGCCCAGACCATTGGACTTTGGCGTGACCATTGGACTTTGAAGTCTGCACTTTGGAGTCCTACATGTACATCTGATAAATCTGTATACTTTCATTTCAGTATGTGGAACCTCTGCAAAGAAAATGAACAGAAACTGCAAATAATTGGAATTTTACTAAGTCCAAGGGGCACAACTCTGTCAAAAATGGCATGATCTTAACCAAAACAGAACCTTACCTAGATATTCATCAGATAATTTTGTATACTAAATTTCATTTCCATATGTGTAATGGTTGTTAAGAAAATGACATGTCAAAAGATATAGCAATATGTCACATTGCAACTCGGGTGACCTATAATCATGATGATAGAAGAAGTAAAGCTGTCAATTTAAGGAGGAATGCCACACCAACTTTTTATTTTATAAATCTATGAGTCATCCTTTTTAAACAATGGTTTCAGCATTGAAAGGCCGATATTAGCCCTTAATTATTTTATATTCATTTTTTTGTATTTTTCAAAGAAAATGAAAAAAATTATTGATATCCAAATAAGATGTTTTCGAGTTAAAATTTTGCTGTAAATGAATGCATCATATGAATATCTAATAAAATATGTAAAGAAAGGCTTGTTAGACTTTTTAATTTTTCTATAAAAAATTATTTATGAAAATAAAACACATTATTTGTGAATATTTTTAAACCTATGGTTAAAAACACCATAAAACTAGTCACATATGAGGAGAACATATTTGTCAATCATATTTTAAAAAGAAATTGAAATGAAATTAAGAAATTTAGAGAAATTAATTTTTTATATATTTGGACCTCAAGAGCTAATGTCAGCCTTTCAATGCTGAAACCATTGTTTAAAACTGTTGACTTAGAGATCTATAAAATAACAAGAGATGTTTGTAAAACACTTATGCCCCCTCCCCCACAAATTGGAATTTTTCTAAGTCCAAAATGGCAAAAGGGCATAACTCTGTCAAAAATGGTGCGATCGTGCCCAAAACAGAACTTCAACTAGATATTCATCTGACAAATCTGTATACTAAATTTCATTTCAGTATGTGTAACCTCTCTGAAGAAAATGAACGAAAACTGCAAATAATTGGAATTTTCCTAAGTCCAAGGGGCATAACTCTAACAAAAATGGTGCAATAGTACCCAAAACAGAACTTGACCTAGAAATTCATCTAACTAAACTGTTACTAAATTTCATTTCAATATGTGCAACCTCTCCGAAGAAAATGAATGGAAACTGCAAATAATTGGAATTTTTCTAAGTCCAAGGGGCATAACTCTGTCAAAAATGGTGCGATTGTACCCAAAACAGAACTTGACCTAGTTATTCATCTGATATACCTGTATACCAAGTTTTATTTCAGATGTGTAACAGTTGTGAAGAAAATGAATGGAAACTAAAAGGACCGACAGACAGCAGCAAAGCAATATGCTCTCCTTCTTCGAAGGTGGGCATAAAAAATTGTGTGGCATTCCTCCTTAAAAAAAATTTATTTTCTTTATACTCTGAACACTTATCTAAGTCAAAATGAACTGAAGATAATAATCAAACATGATATTTTTTTCTCTGAAATTTGATTTTCTCAAATGTTTCTAATTTAAACTCCAAGATTTTTAATCAACTGCAAGTAAATGCATTCTTATTCTATTTTAAAATAAGCCTTATGGCAACATTACAATGCAGAATGCCCTTTGCTCCAAAACTCATATTCTGCTTTATTTGCTTGATAATTCATTAAAAGTAATTTCAATAATGAATGCCTTAACATAAAACATGCACAATACAACTAATTATCAGCATCACAACTGAAGTTTTACAATCCCAAAATGGATTTCAATCAAAATATTGATTCCCCTGCTTCTATACAAAACATTCTAGATTTTTAACTTTTCCACATTTTAAATCTAGTTTAAAAATGTCATTGTTTTTAAGATTTCAGATCTTCTGACATCTTTACACTGATAATAATCTTCTTCGTTTATTTTGCTCGTTCATGATCTTGGTACGGAGTTGCAGTAAGGTACATCCAATATCCGAGTGCTTGTCTAGGTAGGCTTCCAATTCAGATTTGCCTTTAAAAATAAGATAAAATATTAAGTTTAATGTTTAAATTTTTGCTGTTTTAATAATAACATGCACAAGCTATGTTACAATGAGAGACCCATGGGCCCCAACATTCACCTGAGTAACTTCAAGAACAAAGAAAGTTGGCATATTGGATAGGTCAAAATCCATTGTATGTACCGGTAGATGTCATCCAAGAGGTGCGTATGGATTTTGTATTCACTCAAAAGCAAAGGAAAATGGTCATTTAATATGTGCTAAAACTACCAGGCCATTTCCCCCTTCTACATACAGCTATAGAATTTATATTATGAAAATTGTCATAGACATTTAAGGTAGTCTTTTTGAAAAATTTTGATAGACAGAAAAAGGAAAGTATTTTCTATTTGGTATTCAGTGTACAGACATACTGGTCTTTAATCAAAATGATTTAACTTTAATTATCAATTGTATTATGTGCATAAAAATGAATCTCTCCATTTTAGAAATGGAAATCATTATTTGCTATGGTTGGATTCATTCTCAGTTTGTAAAAATGTTATAAGTAATGAGAAGGGCATACATAATTTATAAGCTAATTCAAAAAATTCTTGGCCCCAGAACAAGGATGAAGTTAGTCATCCCCTCAAGTTTAATAAAAAAAGCTGAGAGAGCTCACTACAGTTATCATCATGTGCCTCTTTTATGTTAACATTATGTGAAAATGTTCTTTGACTGGATAAATATAATTTTTCAGGTGGAAAGGGGGGAGGGGAGGGGGGGTGTCATGATTTGAACAATATCTAAGGACGCTTCCGTATGAATATGGATTTTAAGTTTTCTGGTATTCTTTTATTGTCGATTGTTACTCCTCCATATCCCCTGGGGATCATGATTTGAACAAACTTGAATCTTAGGATGGTTCCACGTAAGCTGCAAATTTTTTGGCTTTGTGGTTCTTTAGATTTATAAAAGATGTCATTAATGTTTTACAAATTTGTAATTATCTCCCTGAAAGGTTTCTTTAAATTGTCAAACAAACTTGAATCCCCAGTTCCAAGGATGATTTACGTCAAGTTTGGTTGACATTGGTGGTATTATACAAACGGAAGGGTATATGATCCGCAACTCCTCTCATACCACTGAATGAAAGAACTATATGGTTCCACAAAAGTCAAATTTTGAAAACTTCCTGAAATATGCTGAATTCAATATATTTTTGGCTTAACAGAAAATATTATAGTGTCAAAGCAGTGTATTTACAATTTTTGTTTTTATGACGTCACAAACTAGTCCGATTTTATATCCTTTTTCAGAAAGAGGACAAAACGGACAAAATTTCAACAATTTTAGCTTTAAAATTTATAGAGCGCAAGTGTGTTCAGGAACAATATTGATGTATTTCATTGATATACATACATATTCTACACATTATATCAAAATATTGATCCTGAACACACATGAAAATATTGACGAAAATGTACATTTTTCTGTAAAATTCATTGAAATTTACGTCATGTTTGTATACGTACATCGTCATTATGAAAATATTTAGTGCTTTGAAGTCAGCATTTACTCCCCTGATTAAGAACTTAATTAAATATATCTCCATCAAAGTTTGATTTGGGGGGGCAAATATTGGTAATTACCGCATAAAGTTCTTTGATGAAACTTTCACAGAATCTTTATTACATGTTGCCATTGTGCACCTCCTATTTTACTTTTTGACCCGATACATAGTTTCCCGGTTCACCAGTTAAAACCATATGGTGGTATTATATTTATTCATCTTCCTCTGTTTGTAGCTCACCTGAGCCAAATTCTCAAGTGAGCTTTTCTGATCACATTTTCAACTTCTTCTCCGAAGGTAAGGCTGGGTAAAAATATCGATATTTCGGTATATTGCAATACAATGACAAAAAATATATTGCAATACGTTTTTGTAGTATTGAAATATCGGGCAAAATGCTTAGACTAAGGAATTTTATTATTAAATATAAAAATAAATATAAGAAAGGCTTGTTATTAAGCCAAACAGTAAGAGACAGAAGCTGTTTTATGGATGTATTTCAGAGCATAACTTTAATGAAATCAACAAGATTTTTTTCCTTTTGGTTACTTTTCATAGTTATGTACATTCTGCATGTAGATTAAAGTTAATATTATAAGAAAATGCTATTGTAATTTTCATTGAAAATATTGCAATACATATAGCATACAGTAAACAAGCGGCCCATGGGCCACATCGTTCACCTGAGTAGCTTTGAGCATGGCTGTTTTGTTTTTTTTTTACCAGATTTTCCCCTTGTAATACCTATTGTGACCCCACCTTACCCCATGATTCATAATTTGAACAATTTAGAGTCTTCACTATCCCAGGATGCTTCCACATAAGTTTCAGTTTTGCGGGCCCAGTGGTTCTTGAGAAAGAGATTTTTAAAGATTTTCCCTCAGTCTATATTTCTATGTAAAACTTTGATTCCCTATTGTGGCCCCGCCCAACCCGCAGGGTCTAAATCTAAATGTCAATCTAAATGTCAACACTCAGCAATATATAGTGGGATGAAAAAAAAATCTAATATCTTAAACATAAGTAATCAAAGATTACAGAGCTCACCTCTTAAGTAAGTTATGATTTTTGAACAATTTTAAATCTACACTACCTCAGGATGCTTCCACATAAGTTTCAGCTTTTCTGGCCCAGTGGTTCTTCAGAAGATTTTTTTAATGACCCCACCCTATATTTGTCTTTTCTTGATTATTTTCCCTTGTCCTTGGCTCTTCGTTTTAACAATTTGAATTCCCCTTTACCCAAAGATGCTTTGTACCAAGTTTGGTTAAAATTGGCCCAGTGGTTCTTGAAAAGTTGAAAATGTGAAAAGTTTACAGATGGATGGATGGTCAGACGGAAGAATGACGGACAAAATGTGATCAGAAAAGCTCACTTGAGCCTTCTGCTCAGCCTAATCATAAGAATTAACATACATACATAATTAACATTTTGATACATATAAACTAGTCAAAGATATAATCATTAATGGTCCAAAGATTTATAGCATCAATCAGTTAATGACCATATATTCTCATGATATCAGATAAAATACTTTATTTACAAACCCCTACTTACTTGGTAGTGGATTTCCTTTGTCAATCCTTATCCAAGACTTGAAATCTTCATTTATTTTGGCGGTGTTTTTTCGACCCCAGGAAAATGAGACTAAAAAATAAGATACATGTATACACTTATAATTCCTCTGTTTAATTTTTCTAGATGAGATTTGCCACATAAACCTGCTATTTTTTCTTATCAGTCTCTACTGTGGAATATTTTTGTGCATCTTAGTCAAGTTAAATGGGTGTGAAGATTAATCTAAATGTCAATCTAAATGTCAACACTCAGCAATATATAGTGGGATGAAAAAAAAAAAATCTAATATCTTAAACATAAGTAATCAAAGATTACAGAGATCACCTCTTAAGTAAGGCAAAGTCCCACATTAAAATAAAATCTAGATGTGTATTGCTCAAGATCACACATCTGGAAAATCTATATGCAAGCCCGGAGTGTGCATCCTTATATGGATCACCATGCAAGATTGGTCAACATAGGGCTTATAGTTACTTTAGAATGAACCTGCTCCAAAAACTTTAATCTGTTCACTCATCTGGAACATTAAGGTCAGATCCAGCATCTGAAGCAAGCCTGGTAGTATGCATCCTTAGATGCCAAGATCAACATATAGCTTATAGTTATTTTAGATTCTCACCAAAAACTTAAATTTGCTAAAAAAATGTAGGGCACATCCAGTATTTTATTTTTTATTTTTATAATTGAGTATCAACAATGCAAGTTTGGACTGGGGCCTATGGTTCGTACACATTAGACCTTTTTTTAATATGTTAATGCTCCAAAAACATTAACCTACATTTTATTGTTTGCAGCATCTGAAACTTTGACTGGTACAATGAAACACACTAGAACAGATGCATATCTGATTGTAAAAAAGTACCTAAAGAGAGACCAGCACCAAAAACTTTAACCTAGGACGCCTACACCGACGTCCAGGGTATGGGATATTTAATTTCTAGCAATGAAGACTATTATACATATAGAGAAGACTATCATATGTACAGAGAAGACTTTTACACTGAATGGTATGTAGAGACAAGCAGTCTTTTTATTTACCTTTAGCTGAGGAAGCATTTTGCCTTTCCTCCTTCCACATATTGGCTTGGACTTGGTGTTGGGACTCGTTAATGGTTTCTGACACAAAGTCCTTGTATTCTTCACCAAATTTTGTCGTTTCCTCCGCTTTGGAACTTTCCCCATGTTCCTTATAGAAGTCAGCCAGCCTTTTGGTGGTCCTTTGGAAGATGGCATTTACATTGAGTTTAATGCCATGTTTCTCCCCATTATCATCTCTACAAAGTTCATTGAGGGCATCTTTCAGCACTCCCAGATTCTCCTGTTTGTACATGTCCTCCACAGATACCTCTGATCCTGTCATTAAGGATTTAAAACAGAGAAACAGTCGGGTAATTTCCCTCATTTCCGTCATGATGTTTTGTCTAAACTTATCTGGTATGGCAGATTCAACTTTTCGTGACAAGAAATGCTTGTATCCAAACATCTGTATTATTTTATTTTGTCTTATTAGAGTTCCGACTTCCCCATCTCGAAATTTGTTTAAAATTTCTGTTAAAAACTTTTCATCGATATCACCATCAATGGGTTTAAACAGTTCTTTCCTCAGACCTTTACACTTTGCACCACACTGCGACTTGTGTTTGTAAAAGGTTTTATGGGAATAAAATCTTCTACATTTACTACACATACGTAGGCTGTTTTGTCCTTTTGACCGTCTCTCTCTCATAAGTTGACCGTCTTCCAATTTGTAATGTTTGAGGTTATACTGGTAGATTCCCTCTATTCGTTTCTGGTCAAACCATTTGTTCTGGGTTTCTAAGGGCTGCTGTAGAATTTTTCTTACTTCTTCGTGGGTTTTCTTATGAATTTTAATGTGCTCCCTTAATCTACCATTCGAAACTTTTTTACAAAATACACACATACGTGCTGGTCTCTGTTAGAGAAAATTAAGAAACAAAGATGTAATAAAGTGTACTTAAAAAGTAAGTTTCTGTACACATCAAAGAAACTCATATTGAAAGAGGCTTATTTGACATGTGCTCAATTTTTAATTTACAAATTTCTTTTAGTGCAACATTAAAATAAGTAATGCCCTGATGACATTATCATGTCAAAAGTGAAAGGTGCAATCTTTAAAGAAAACTCACAATAATTTAGAAAAATAATTGACAGTAAATAATTTGTAAGCATGTTTGCCTTGTTATACATAACATTTATTTACCTCTTTTCTTGTTGATTTCCCAGAGGATGTCCTCGATTCCTCAAAATGGATTCCTTCATCTGCCTTCTCATTCTTGATAAAATAAAACCAAATTTGAAATATCAAATTTATACAACAATCATATAGTCAACAAGTAATACATGTACAACACGGATTGATATTAACAGCTGTCTGATTGGCCAGGGCAAGTACATTCTCATTCAGGCAAGTGAAACTGCCCATATACTTGTCTGACCTGACAGAGGAATATTTTTATTGAAATGTATATTATCTAGCTTACATTCAATAGTTTATAAAATTAATGAAAAATTAATTTCAACACTTTTAAATTTTTATGGGGTACATCTTACAATGGGAAGGGGTAGGGGGTTCTAAGTAGAACCATAAAAACCTTAATGTAACAGCAATAAAGTAAGTCATTTGCTCCTTTCTAAATTTTAGATCACTGAAATATGGCTGAAATACTGCTGACTCGGCTTTAAACAATAATAATGAATCATCTAAATTTTAGTCAACCAAGTTTTGCTTTTGGACAAGTCAAACTTTGAAATTACTGAAGGTTACTGTCTATCCCTAATTACCAAAGTTTTGCAAGATACCAAAATTTAAAATAAAATATTTAACTGACATAATTTAGAATTTTTAAATTTGATTCGTTATTAAATTTGTGGATTATTAATCAGTAAACAATTTTTTGTATTATTTCAAGTATAGATAAACCAATTTTGTTTATCAAATTCTTTATTTTTAATTAAATGTCTTTTTCATTTCTGTTATTTTAGAAAATAAATGGGCTGATCGCTGGTGTGTGAGATTTTTTTAACCCACAAGTTTTTACTGAAAATAATGAATATCTTATCTCTTTATTGTAGCTTGTTGCTCATAAATATCAGTGACTTGTTTTTCATTCATACAAATTATTTCTGCTTTGGAGTTTCAGCAGCAAAAATTCTTACAGTTGTTGCCAGAGGTTATGCTGAACCAAATTAAAGTCAAATTTAAACTAGAGGTACTGTGAGCAATGAGCTCACTAAATGATACCCCCTGCCTCCCATATGGTTATACCTGATGACAAAGTCCATGTTTTGCTGTGGCTGGGAAACCCAATATATGTGTTGGATCAATAAGTAAAATAGGAGGTACACAAATGGCAATATGTAATAAAGATTCTGTGAAAGTTTCATTAAATTTCACTCAGTGGTATGAGAGGAGTTGCAGATAAGAGATGGGTACCCTAAAGCGTAACAGACGGACGGATGGATGTACAGACAGCTAGACGTACAGCTGGACGGATGGACATACCGATTACAGTATACCCTCCCACTTTTCAAGCAGGGGTATAATGACAAAAGAATCCGTAGAATGCAGAGAAATGATATTTCACAGGGATTAGCTAATATATTAACCTGTGTCTCCTCAGAGGAGCTGACAATGAAAGATCCTAAGAATCAGTAGATATACTGACCTGTTTCTCCTCAGAGGATCTGCTAATAGAAGGAAGCTGAACTCCTGGAGAAGGTGATTTCTCTTCTCTTCCATGTGTAGCTGACTCAGAGTTAACATTTGGTACATTTTCTGAATCAGAGCTCACTGTTGGTGGTCCAACTTCATGTCGCTTGTTTGAACACATGCTGTCAGCTAATACGATAAAAATCAGTGTGTCGTATTAATGCATCTTAATCTTTTTGTTCATCAAATTCCAAAATATATCAACAAGTACACTTACCTTCATTCTGGGAATCATTTGATTGCCCCTGGCTTCTTTTTTTCAGTGAATTCTCCAGAATGACTTGTTTTGAATTACCTATAATTTCCACCTCACAGAGTCTATATGCTTCTCCAAAGTCTTTAATTTCTTCCACTTTTAAATTTTCCTTAGATTCTTCATAGAACAAAGTTAAATTTCTTATGCTTCGTTGAAAGATGATATTAAGACTAAGTTTCAAACTATGTTTCTCCCCATTATCATCTCTACAAAGTTTCTTTATTGCATCTTTCAGCACTCCCAGATTCTCCTGTTTGTACATGTCCTCCACAGATACCTCTGATCCTGTCATTAAGGATTTAAAACACAGAAACAGTCGGGCCAGTGTCCTCATGTTAGTCATTATTTCCAGTCTGAGATGCTTTGGTATACCATCTTCCCTTTTACCCGACAAGAACTGTTTATATCCTATCATCTGAATGATTTTATTCTGTCTTATCAAGCTTCCTACCTCCCCATCTCGAAATTGATACAAAATTCCAGTAACAAAGTTTTCATCCATATCAGCACCTACAGGTCTCAGCTGTTCTTTCTTAAGTCCTTGGCTTCTTGTACCACACTGTGACTTGTGGCGATAAAAAGTACGACTTGAGAAGAATTTTTTACACTCTGTGCACATACGTAAGCTATGTGGTCTTTTGGATTGTCTCTCTCGCATGAGTTGATCATCTGCTGCATCTAAATGTTTGAGGTTATACTGGTAGATTCCCTCTATTCGTTTCTGCTCAAACCATTTGTTCTGGGTTTCTAAGGGCTGTTGTAGAATTTCTCTTACTTCTTCGTGGGTTTTCTTATGAATTTTAATGTGATCTCTTAGTCTCTTACCATTCAAAACTTTCTTACAAAATACACACATACGTGCTGGTCTCTGTTAATTAAAAAAAATATTAAAAATCAATTAACAGATGGCACCACACCATAAATATTCAAACAAGTGGCCCATAGACCACAATTGTTCATATGAGTAACTACGCTTATGCTGTTCTTTTTTCCCCTGCATTAAAAGCTGATGGCACCTTGGTGTGTTTGGGACCTCATCTTACCACTACAATACCTCACGAAGCTAAAAATATGACTAATTCAGCAACATAGCATTTTACATGTGAAAAGCATGTAAAATAAATCTGTTCATCAGTCAATATCCTCATCAGTCAATTTTCATTGGCTGTCCCAAAATAAAATTAAGGTCAGTAAATATTTTTAGCATACATGTAAAAGAGAAAACAAAGATAATTAAAGAGTACAACCTCATCTCAAAGAATGTTATCGGTGAAAGTAATGCAAATCTTACATCATACTTTTTTTATAGCAAGTATAAATCATGACAATAATATTCACACAAGTTCTGTTTAAGAAGGCCTTACACTGTGAAATCACTAATTTTTGTGGGGGTTTAATTTTTGTGGTTTTCAAGGTATGAAGAGACCCAAATTAATGTCCACCACAATATGCAATTTTTCAAATATATTACATGTACTATTAAACAATGTTTCAACCACGATATCAAATCCCCATGAACCAAAATATTTTTCTCAAACCATTAAAATATGTGATTTTACAGTACATGTAGTTCAAAATTCTTCAATCTATTCCAGAAAATGATTTCATTTCCAACATCAAGTTTCAAATAGCAAGTCTCTAACTGTTCATCCTTAAATGAAATTTATCATTATGGCTATATAATTAAAGATCTACTCCAAAAACATTGCCATGGTCACTCGTTTAGAAAATGTAGGTCAGATCCAGCATCCGAAGCAAGTCTAGTAGTGGCTATCCCCAAATGCATCATCAATGCAAGTTTGGTCCAGGAAAAGCTTATAATTACTTAAGAAGAAACCTTCTCCAAAAACATTGCCATGGACATTTATTTGGAAAATGTAGGTCAGATCCAGCATCTGAAGCTAGTCTGGTAGTGTAGAAGACATTCTCTGAAGTAAATTTAGACCTGACCAATTCTGAAGAAGAGAAGTACATGTATTACATTTAACAAGCTTTACTTACTCGATTCTCAATCTTCTTCACATTAGATGAACATGATGAAACCTGAAATAAAAATCACTCATGTGGAAGACACTTAATTATCTTTTTTTTCTACAATTTTGTTGCTTGTTTTACATTTCTCTTCAACATGCTACATTTATCTCAGATGATTAATTGTTGTTTAAGTATTCTTAAACATAAATGTGGTATCAGTGTATCAAGATTGAAGTCTGTAAAGCGTATGATTCTCCAGAAACTGAGCTGACAATATTATCTAATATGTTGAGTGACCCTTGTCCTTTTAACCTCTAAACTGATAGGGGTCATCAGTGTACAAAGTTTGAACTCTGTCAATCAAAAGGTTCAAAAGGTATTAAGCTGTCAGTAACTTCCTATGTCCAATTTGATCCATAACCCTTTGTGTCTAGAAAACTATTGTATAAGGTTTTAAGCTAATATATATTCCTTTTTGACCATTTGATATTCTCTCACCTCTTCCTGCTGATTTTCTTTAGGGCAACATCTCATCCTGTGTCGGAAAAATGTTCTATGGGAGTAAAATCTTTTACATTCATTGCACATGCGCAAACTGTCTTGCTTTTTGGGTCTTCTCTCTCGCATAAGTTGATCATCTCCAAAGTTCAAATGTTTGAGGTTATACTGGTAGATTCCCTCAATTCGTTTCTGGTTGAACCATTTTACCTGGACCTCCGAGGGCTGTTGTAGAATTTCTTTCACTTCATTATGCGTATTCTGATGACGCATTATGTGATTCTTGAGTCTTCCACCAACTATTACTTTGTTACAAAATACACACATACGTGCTGGTCTCTGGTAATTAAAAATGTTATTTTTAAGAAGCACACCAAAACCAGGAGTCATAAATTGAACAAGAGACCCATGGACGACAATGTTCATCTGAGAAACTTTGGTATAACTGTACTTTTTTCCTAGATTTTTCTTTCGTCATACTTATTGTGGCCAAATCCTACCAAAGGGATATTGATTTGAACCATCTAGAATCTACATTACCTCAGGGAGCTTCAATAAAAGTGACAGTTTGTCTAGCCCAGTGATGCTTGAGTAGATTTTCAAAAAAAAATTCCTATATGTTTTAATGTAAAACTTTGATTCCCTATTGTGGCCCCATCAACAGGGGTCATGACTTGAACAATGAACAAGAGGCCCATGGGACACATCGTTCACCTGAGCACATCACCCATTGTGGCCCCACCCTTGTTCCTGGGATCATGATTTGAACAAACTTAAATTTACACTATCTGAAGATGATTCCACATGAGTTTCATCTTTCCTGGCCCAGTGGTTCTTGAGAAGAAGATTTTTTAAAAATGCAATTCACTTTTGATAATTCATAATTATCTCCCCTTGGAAGAGGGCTTGGCCCTTCACTTGAAAAAAAAAACTTGAATCCCTTTTACCAAAGGATACTTTGTAGCAAGTTTGGTTGAAATTGATCCAGGGGATCTTGAGAAGAAGATGAAAATGTGAAAAGTTTACAATGCCATTTGTGTACAACTTCTTAGATTTCTAATAAATATAGAGGAAAAGATAAACAAACGAGCTACAGTCTATTGAAGACATGTACATAGTTACACGTCTGTTTTACTCAGTCTGTTACTATACAATTAAATTAAGGGTGTAGAGTCTCAACTCTGATATCTCGACACCTCGGATATCTCCACATTTTTCGATTGTCCCGTCGATGTAGAAATAACAAAGTTTACTTGTATATTCTTATGTAAAACTGATCCCACATCGTATTCCCAACCTTCCCCGGGGGTCAGGATTTAAACCAACTTGAATCAACACTACTTAGGTTGCTTTCATTTAAATATCACCAATCATCCAAGGCTTTGCTTTTCCTGAGAAGATTTAAAAAGATTTTTCCTATATATTTCTAGGCAAACATTTCATTGCCCATATGGCTCCACCCTAATGATTTGAAAAATCTTGACAATCTTGAATCTTCACTACCTGTTGATGCTTTTTTATAAATATCACCAATCATGGCTATGCTTTCTTGAGAAGAAGATTTTCAAAAGATACATTAATTTTTCACTATTTCATAATTATTCTTATCCTTTGAAGAGGATGTGGCCCTTCATTTGAAGAAGATGAAATCTGAAAAGTTTATGATGGCACCAGACAACAGATAAATTTTTATCATAAAATCTCACACCTTTGGCTCACATGAACCAATAAGGACACATAACAGACAAGGTAATAGGAATAATTCAAATGACCTTAATATATTTACTTGCCTGCTTTTCAATCTTTTTAACACTGGGTGATGAATCCTGAAAAAAAAAAATGAAAAATAATATTTGGTCCTATCTATAATTCTATATCATGTACCAGCGACAAATATTTTGCTACTATTTTTCAAAATGATGGTATTGGTCCAAAAATTATATAAAGACAATTGCCAAGATTTAGAACACATATACATGTAAAACATTTTTAATTGTTTTATAATCATTAAGGTATGTGTTTATTTTTGTTGTCAGCACCATGACATGTGGAGTGCATGAAGTAAGTGACAACTTTTGCCTAAGTTGTGATAAACAAGAAGTTATGGCAAACCAAGGAAAGACTAAAAAGTTTCAATAAAGATTTCAAACATAGGTATGACTAGAAACTAGAAATATGTCCATAGAACATAACCCCCCTCTTGAAATCTTAAAAACTTGGTTATTAGATGATAAATTCTCACTAAATAATGCATTTACATAAATATTTTTTAAAACTAAGCAAAAAAAGTTTTGGAAAAGTAAAGATTGAGATCGCAAGAAAGGTCAAGTTTACTGGAAAGGTCAAGGTCAAACATTTTTGATACAGTTTATTTAAAACTGAGCTAAACACTTATTAAAATATATAAAGTTAATGTCAAAGGAAAGGTCAATAAATGTTGAAGCAGTTGAAAAGCTTACATCAGTACAGTGTATGTATTAGCATATGAAGTTTGATAAAATATTGTGAATGTTTTCTTTAAAACTGAGTTAAACACAAATTGAGAAAATTGAGGTCAAGGTCAAATGAAAGGTCTAGGTAAAAATGTTAATGCAGTTGAATAGCTTATATATGTACATATCACCATATGAAGTTTAATGCTAATTTTAGAAAAGTGAGGTCAAGGTCAAAGGAAAGGTCAAGATAAAAAATGTTGATGCAGTTGAATAGCTGTTTCAGCATATCAAGTTTGATAACACTATGATCACTATCCTCAATGGTTTCTTTAAAACTGGGCTAAACACTAATTTAAAAGAAAAGTGAGGTCAAGATCAAAGGAAAGGCCAAGGTCAAAACAAGAGATGTACTTTTGTAAAACACTTATGCCCCCCCCCCTTCCCCAAATGATTGGAATATTTCTAAGTCTAAGGGGTTTAAATCTATCCAAAAAGGCTCAACTTACCCAAAACTGAACCTGACCTAGATATTTTTATCATAAACCTGTATATCAAATTTCATTTCAATATGTGCAACCTCTGCAAAGAAAATGAATGAAAACTGCAAATAATTGGAATTTTTCTAAGTCCAAGTAAATTTGCAAGTATTAAAAGGATGCAAAACATGCAAAAACCATGAAAAAGCTCCCCAGGGTTGTTTTTATCAATACATGTATTACACTGTAGTTAAATTTGGCCCAGTGGAGAAGAAGTTGAAAATGTGAAAAGTTTACAGACAGACAGACGTGGCATGCCAGACAACAGATGTTAATGATCAGAAAAAGCTCTCTTGAGCTTTCAGCTTAGGTGAGCTAAAACAGAAAACATGTGGACGAATAGATTGTCTGTTGAACAATCAGACAGATGGACAAAGTGATTACTAAAGGGTATCATGAACTTCTTGCAGTGCCCTAATTACTCATGTTTTTACTTGACTTGCTCTAGTTATGGAATGTATCTTTCATGTTTACATGCATTTACAACATGTCTTGCTATTTCTGGTAGTTTAGGCCTTAAATGAATTTCTCAAACATATGCTTGCATTTGAAGTTTTCTACACACCTTAGCTATTTCTGTGTTGTAAATGATTTACCTTAGCTATTTCTGGTGTTGTAATTGTCTTACCTTAGCTATTTCTGTGTTGTAAATGACTTACCTTAGCTATTTCTGGTGTTGTAATTGTCTTACCTTAGCTATTTCCGTGTTGTAAATGACTTACCTTAGCTATTTCTGGTGTTGTAAATGACATACCTTAGCTATTTCTGGTGTTGTAAATGACTTACCTTAGCTATTTCTGTGTTGTAAATGACTTACCTTAGCTATTTCTGGTGTTGTAATTGTCTTACCTTAGCTATTTCTGGTGTTGTAAATGACTTCCCTTAGCTATTTCTGTGTTGTAAATGACTTACCTTAGCTACCGGTATTTCTGGTGTTGTAATTGTCTTACCTTAGCTATTTCTGTGTTGTAAATGACTTACCTTAGCTACCGGTATTTCTGGTGTTGTAATTGTCTTACCTTAGCTATTTCTGTGTTGTAAATGACTTACCTTAGCTATTTCTGGTGTTGTAATTGTCTTACCTTAGTTATTTCTGGTGTTGTAACTGACTTTCTTGACTTTGAAGGATACATCACTTCGTCTCCTATTTCAAGGCAACCCTGAATATGCAAAGCAAACGCAATGTTTTCTGTAAGTTCATGGAAAATTGGTAAAGACAGACACATGAGTAAATACAGGTAACTCTCGATACCTCGAAGTCCGCAGGACCGAGGGAAAACTTCAAGAGATCAAGAGTTCGAGTTTTCAAGAGTCCGGATTATTCCGAGTTTGTTTGACAGGTTTTAAAATTAGTCATACCGGATGTAATGATTTTCATACAGTCCTTACCTTTTACCCTAGCCTGGTCCCCTGTCTCATCCTTGCCAAGGCAGGAGAGCCAGGTGGATTACACGCTAAATCGTGGGTTTTTGAGCCGTTGCCGTTAACCACGGAAATAAATATCAACGTAACAATGACACATTACGTCGACGACGTAGAAAAATACGACGTCACAATGAACGTCTTTGCCGGAGGTGCAGCCATTTTCGACGTCACAATTGGCTAAGATTCAGGGCAGATTCGCCCTGAATCCATTGTACTCCACCTGGCCCTAGTGACGCAGAGAATACGAAGCAAAACAGGGACAGGGAACCAGGCTACCTTTTACCCGTGGTTTTTACAAAACAACGATATGTTTTCGTATTTAAGATGAATATTTATTAAACTGAGTAAAGCAAAAAATGTACATCGTCAGTTCGTGTATGTTTATTTTTTTTTTATCATAGGCCAGGTAAAATTAATCTTTAGATTCTCATCCTCATTTGCTAAAAAATTGGGGCGGGTGGGCGGATGTCGTGAATGTCGTTACGCGTTATGACCAGATTTTTTACTTTCCAAATTTTATTTTTTATTTTTTATAATTGTTAAATTGTAAGTATTAACAAAACATGGACTTTCCGTACACATTTTTTCATTATGTTAATGCCAATATGAATAGATTTTATTTTTTTCATATTCTTTTAAATATGTTAAAGAAAATTCTTGCTTAAATTATAAGATATTTATTGTTAATTAACAAATTATCAAGTACACGTATACGTACGGCACACGCAAAACAAAATGAGGTGGGGTTCTGATATCAATAAATTTTGTATGCATGACTTCTCATCGGCCTTTCCCTAAAGACCCTTTAGTTTTACCTACAAATCCCTGTTTTCTGTAAAATATCATAGATTCCCACCTTCCTCAAAAATTGGATTGTTCTTGAGACTTGACATGTTCGACAATAAAATAGGTCATATTTACAAAATCTATAAAATATTCTAATAAAATATCCTACCAAAAAAACCGAGGCCTGAACAGGTTTGATATTTAACATTTTCTTAGCACTAAACATTCTCTAAAGCCTGCCTACGATGTTTTATTTTCTTTTTTCAAATCAAAATCACACACAGTTGGAGATCGTTTAAACTTGACCAGGTGTCAATTTGCATGTCTATTTTTTATACTTAGTTTTAAAAAATCTTTAAAAACTTACTCATGATTGGCAGTAATGGTATCTAGATATGTTTATGCTATTATTTTTTCTCTGCCTTCTCTATACTGACAAATAATCTTTTCCTTACATATTTAAACTGCTTTTATTGCCGATTTTTCTACATTCTTCACATGGCTCTTTTGCTATAAATAGCGACATGCGACTTTTAATACAGACGGGAGATAACTCTTAAACTTCACCTAAATTCTTACTGAATAAAAATACATGAAAATGCCTTTATTAACACCCAAAAATCAAAATAAAAAACGCTGGGGCGGGGCATTTTGAGAGGGGTGGGCGGGGATGAGAATCTAAAGATTAATTTTATCTGGCCATACGGATATCATTCTACTCATTCGTGTGTACATAACATTGTGACTTTTCCAAAGTGGCAAACATGTGCATTGAACGAAATTCTGTATGTATTTGTCCAACAAAAGTCGTCAAATTGACAGCGAGGCTGTTTCTGAATTTTAATATTACGTTAAACTTTGAAACTGATTCGAAATCAAAATTTAATTCATTAATTGTTTGGTCTCGTAATCTGCAATTGTGAAACAATTTCTCAGCGACACTGCGTTTCTGAATTATCGTAATACAGACGATGGTTATTAATTTGATAGCATATAGGCACCATAAGATTAATTATAAATCAATTATCACCTTGCAGAATAAGTGTCACCTGAATAAACATCCCATTTCACGAGACCCGCGTCTTCTGCCTGGGGTCATTAAATGTCCAGGTAAAGTTGCTAATTATGTAACTTTGTATACACTTAGCCACTTCGAGGTATCAAGGGTGAATTTCAATAGAATATGCACAGCGGGACTGCAATTTTACTTCGAGGGATCAAGGGTTTCGAGAGATCAAGAGTTCGAGAAATCAAGAGTAAATTTGCTTAGTTATAATGGGGAAAAAATCGGGACCGGAGACTCACTTCGAGAGATCGAAGTTCGAGCCATCAAGAGTTACCTGTAGGAAGTTCACATCAGATTCAAACAAAACTAGAAAACTGACCAGTCAGCAAGGGCCCCGCCATGGGGTAGAATTAAATGGGTGCAGCTTACAGAATAATTAATAAATGTATGAAGAATAAGCAACACCAACTGTATTCTTAAAATTAAGATAATTCCTGAATATTCAAAAACCTGAAAATAATATCCTTGTATTTACATTAGGCAGTAAAGAACAACTTAACATTGAATGTATATTTAAACAATTATGAAGCTTGTGTTATATAAAATGCCAGCCTTCAATGAATGCAAATATGACATGAAGGCTTGACCTTAACTTCAAACAAACAGCAGTTGCAGACAAAGGTTTTCATTAATCTTAAAGCGACAGATAAAGAAAAGCCTACTAAATTTTCTGCAGCAGGCTAGATAATTAATCCCAAGGGATTAATTGCACCTCTCTCATCATTTTCTTCTAAATTTACAATAAGAACTTTTTCAGTATTAATGATAGAATGGGGTTTTTATACAACTACATTAAAAATTAATTATATTCTTGAATTAATATATTAAAAAAAAAGTGAAAAAAGTCAATCAAAAAATCTTCCTTATTCTATTTCTTTTTTTTTTTTTAGAATTCAATGAAATCATAAGTTCTATCAAACAAAAATAAATAATAAAAATTTATATTTAAATCCACATTTCACAGTGTTCATAGCATTCCAAATTGATTTAACTTCAAAACAAACTTCATTTGCAGACAGAGGTGGTAATTAATCTCAATGTGACAGATAAAGATAATGCTTTGGATTTTCTTCAGGAGGAAAGCTAATTAATCCCAAGGGACTCCTAGCAGCATTCAGTTTACAATGGGAACATCTTCAGCAGTTATCTCTCTTTGCCAATGCATTCTTATATAAAGTTAAGGAATCTACCCCACCACCCCAGCTCCAAACCATGGGACATAGAGAACCAAACTTAGCATCAAAATATGTATTTCTGCCTACTGAACTACCGTACCAAATTTGAACTTGATTGGGCAACCATAAAAAAAAAATAGTTAAGGAATCTACCCCACCAACCCAGCTCCAAACCAGAAGAAAATTTAGCATCAAAATATGTATTTCTGCCTACTGAACTACCATACCAAATTTGAACTTGATTGGGCAACCATAAAAAAAGTTATTAGAAAAAAACAGAAAATTTGTGGACGGAAGAGTGACAGACGGACAGACAGACAGACAGACGGACAGACGGAGACAGAGTGATTACTATAGGGCACCCGCAAATCCTTGCGGGGCCCTAACTAAAACTCGGCCTCCATAAGGCATGCCAAAACAAAGAGTGTAATAAAATTTCAAGCACCTGCAGTGAGCAGTTGCTGAGATAACTGTCAAAAAATATTTCAACATTTATTTTCCATTGTCTATAACATTCTAAATATTTTAATTCTACAGGTTCACACAAAGCTGAAAAACTGGGAGTTTCCCCCTTTATTAAGATGAATATTACTGGTTGTAAGGATGGTGAATTCCTTACCTCTGATATTTATACTTACCTGACCTATATCAATTTTGACCTCTTTGACCTCTTCTGGTTCAGTTTACTATTTACCTGACCTACACAGCAAAACTCGGTTATAACAAAGTTGCTGGGACCTTTGAAATTACTTCGCTATATCCGTAATTTGTTATAACTGCTTAAGAAATTCATTAAAATTATAGAACTGGAGATCCAAAATGCCTTTGCTATATCCGTGAATTCGCAATATCCCTGTTCGTACTCAAAGAGTTTTACTGTATCCATTTCCACCTTCAGGGGCTGACAAATAGATTTTTCAAGCACTTGCCCACAGGCCAGTGCATGGTCAAATTTCACTTGCTCTACTTCAATTTTTACTTGCATCACCAGCACTTTATATTCATCATAATGAATTAATTTCTAAATAGAAAAAATTTCAGCCAAGGATTGTTTTTTTGAATATTGGCCATACAATCTGTTGATAATTGTATGCTGTTTTACGTCCCGTTCGAAAATTTTCCACTTATATAGAGACGTAAAATTGCTATCATATTTAAGCTATAGTCATGATATTTGCTATTTGTTTAAAATAATGGTTTTGGACCTTTGGTTTTTCTTTTCTCATATCTGATATGCTTACACGGTTTTGTACTAAGTTTTTCACCAACATTGTTATAGATGATGTACTTATCAGCAGCTTTCGATCGTTTTCTGCCTCATAAATGTCAAAACTTTCTCCATTTCTCCAATGCCAATTTTTCACTTTCAATTAAGTACAAATACATGTACTTAAAACTTTAATAGGCACTTGCCCACGGGCTAGTGCCTATTAAAAATTCACTTGCCCACCTCTAATATTCACTAGCCCCGGGCAATGGGATTTGTCAGTCCCTAACTTTGATTTCTTTTCAGTCTATTACTAAAACGACCTACATCCATTTTAACATTGACCTTTTTTGGTTTAGTTTACTACTTTCTTGACCTCTATCAATTTTAACCTTGACCTCTTCTGGTTCAGTTTACTACTAACCTGACGTATATCCATTTTAACCTTGATCTCTTCTGGTTCAGTTTACTTCTAACCTGACCTATATCCATTTTAACCTTGATCTCTTCTGGTTCAGTTTACTTCTAACCTGACCTAAATCCATTTTAACCTTTATCTTTTCTGGTTCAGTTTACTTCCTTACCTGACCTATATTCATTTCCACCTTGATCTCTTCTGGTTCACTGTCCTCACTCTCCTCCCAAAAGTCACTTTCAGAATCCAAATACTCCTCCTCAGATTCAGGCTGGTACTCATCAGAAGAGGACAGAAAATCTCCATCAGAACTCATTTCCCCCTGACAAGATAAACCAGAAGTCTCTGTCAAGACTGTAGCTTTTTTATACATATAACAAAGTAAGAGAAAAGTAGCAATTTGGACTTGAAACTTTAAAACAGCAATAAACAGAATAATGATCCTTGCTTAAGTCACTTTGTGGCAATATTGCAATAACACAACTTTCGGGGTAGCTTTTAAAAAAATTTTAAAGAATTTTCAATTTTAGTTACCATGGCAACATCATTCATCAAAATAAATTTAAAAAACAATAAAGACAATAATGTTTCCTAATGTGGTCTACCTGAATGCCACATTATATCATAATCAAACTAAAACTGTATTTGTGATAGCATTTTAAAATTATTTTATGGAAATTTCTATTTTTAGTTACCATGGCAACAACGTTCATCGAAATCAAACATTGATGCACAGAAATATGTATCTTAATATAGTCTACGTGTGTGCCAAGTTATATTGAAATAAGACCAAAACTGTAGGTGGAGTAGCATTTTGAAGGCATTTCACAGAATGTCCTTTTTTTAGTAACAATGGCAACACTGTTCACCGAAATCAAAAACTGACGCACAGAATTATGTATCTTAGTATAGTACACGTGTGTGCCAAGTTTTATTGAAATCAGATCATGGCACGGTACCAAATGTAATGGGAGAGGAGAAAATGCAGCGGACCAGACAGGGATTCAAACCCGGGCCCCCCTGAACTTCGTTCAGGTGCTCTACCAACTGAGCTATCTAGCCACCAGCGATCAAACCCAGCTGACCGTATTATTCCTCCCTCCTTAAAGGTCTTTGGCCCTCCAAAGACCCAACCCAGGCTCATCCCTGGCAGGTCTTTCACCTGTCAATTCCAGGGCATGGCACAGCACGGCACCAAATGTAAAGAGAGAGGAGAAAATGCAGCGGACCAGACCAGGATTCAAACCCCGGCCCCCTGAACTTTGTTCAGGTGCTCTACCAACTGAGCTATCAAGCCACCAGCGATCGAACCCGACTGACTACCACATTTGCTTTAATTGGATAACATGGGATGTTGATTGTTAATTAAAATGTTTTCTGACTGTGGCTTTATTCAATTTGTTGTGTGAGGTCATTGACATCATGTCAACATTTGTTTCAACAGTCCAGTATTTTTTTTTATAGTATCAGCAATAAAACTATACTTAAGAAAAGAAGAAGGTGCTTTTTTTTTTCAAATGCTTGAGAGTAATTAGCATATCATTTCTATAAAACACATTCTATTTAGAATTAATCCATGCTTGAACAGAACTGGGAAAAATACACCTTGTATGAGCTATGTTAGGGGTGAAACAGTTCACTGCAGTATAAATTCACAGCGGTATTTTTCCTCAGTTTGATAAATGGTTCAAAATCTCCATTTCCAGTTCGGTTAATTTTTCAACGGGATCATCATTCAGTCGGGTTTGGCATAAGGTATAAACATGTTTCTCAGTATAATTAATTACAAAAAAAAAATCATTTTTTTTGTAAAATAATTTTTAACAGTCAAATCAATTAAATTAAATTTCACCTAGTCAGTTTGCACATAAACAAGAGGCCCAAGGGCCTTGAATCGCTCTTCTGATAAATTATACAATCTATCCTAAGACCCAAGATGCATCAACTGACAAAGTTTGATGATTCTTGGCCAGTTAGGGCTGAAGATATATAAATGTAACTACAAAATACTATAAGTAGGTCATGGTGACCTACTTTTTGATTGAAATTTTCTGAGGACACAAGATGCATTAATTGACAAAGATTGATGATTCTAAGCCAATAAGTACTTGAGATATTCAAAAGTGGGTCACGGTGACCTACATATTGGTCAACATTCTCCGAAAACCCAAGGTGCATCAACTGACAAAGTTTGACAATTCTAAGCCAATATGTACCCTAGAATACTTAAATATAGCCATAAATGTCACAAGAAGGTCACCGTGACCTATTTTTTGATCAGCATTCTCCTAGAACCCAAGATGCATCAAATAACAAAGTTTGATGATTCTAAACCAATAAGTACCCGAGATGCCTAAATTTAGCCATAAAATGTCAAAAGTAGGTCACTATGACCTACTTTTTGGTCAACATGCTCCGAAAACCTAAGATGCATCAAATGACAAAATTTGATTATTCTAAACTAATTAGTACCTGAGATACATAAAACTAGCCATAAAATGTCAAAAATAGGTCACTGTTACCAACTTTTTGGTCGACATGCTCCAAATACCCAAGATGCATCAATTGACAAAGTTTGATGATTCTAAGCCAATAAGTACCTGAGATACTAAAATATAGCCATAAAATGTCAAAAGTAGGTCACCGTGACCTACTTTTTGGTCGTTAATCTCCGAAAACCCAAGATGCATCAACTGACAAATTTTAATGATTCTAAGCCAATTAGAACCTGAGATACTTAAATCTAGCCATAAAATGTCGAAAGTAGGTCACAGTGACCTTCTTTTTGGTCGACATTTTCTGAAGACCAAAGATGCATCAACTGACAAAATTTGATGATCATAGGTCTAATAGTATTCAAAAAATGCCTTTTAAACAATTTGAAAATAATTAAATGCCTGCAAAGTTCAAAAAGTAGGTCACAGTGACCTACTTTTTGACAAATATGTTTTAAGGCCTCTAGATGCATCAACTTACAAGATTTGGTGATTCTAAACCTCGGTGTCTGAAATAATGGGATTAAATGTTTTGGAAAAGATTAGCCATAAATTCAAAAAGTAGGTCAAGATGACCTACTTTTAAGTTGATGTTGTTTGTGGACCTAAGATGCACCAACTTACAAAGTTTTATGATCATAGGCCTTAAAGTGTCCAAAATATACCTCCAAATCAATTTGAAAACAAAAGCCCGTAAAATTTCAAAAGTAGGTCACCATGACCTACTTTTGTATTAACATGATGTGAAGTCCTGAGATGCATCAACTTACAAGATTTGATGATCCTAGTCTTTATAGTAAGCAAAATATCAACGTTTTTAATAAGTGTAAATTTTGGTCAACTTTGAAGTGACCTTGAGACCACGCCCTTTGCCCCAGGGTCATGCCTTGAACAATTGTATATAAGTTTGGTGAAAATCTGCCTGGTGGTTCTGAAGAAGAAGATTTTTTAGCAACCAGTACTTTTGGTTTTATTTTCGTGATTATCTCCCCTTGTTTTAGGGTCCCACCCCCTAATTTTAGTATAAATGGTAGCCCTTGGGCCAAGGATACTCTGTGACAAATTTGACAATAATTGGCCAAGGGGTTCTTGAGTAATGGTCCATATTCTAAAAAGTTAAAGCACACCGCACACCACACAACGCACACCACACAAATGGCCATAGCATTAGCTCTTTGAGCCTTTGGCTAAGAACTTAGAAGAGCTAAAAATGTGACTAAATTAAGTCAAGAAAGCATTTCACCCCTAAACTATGTCATATTTTTTTCACAGCTAATTCCAACCTTTTCTTTTTAAAATTTTTCCCTTTGAAGTTTGTTCCTGTTTTACTTGTAAATAAATTTCTTCTGACCTCCATCTCTTCAGCCTGGCTGTCCACTCTCTTATCACGGAGGGAGCAAGGGGACTTTACTGGACTGACCACTGTGTCCGAGTTATACACGGTGACGATCATCGGTGTAAACTCATCATCTTTATCAAGGTACACATCTGGCTGTCCAGTTCTACGCCACTTCTTTGAAGACATGCTACCAACCAACAATATTATAAAGACTGTAATGTTCTGCATGTCATTGGTTCATTGATATAAGACCTTCACGATACTTGCCCAAACATTATTTTAATATATCCCATTTTCTTTTTTCAATTAAGAACTATTTGCCAAATTGAAAGATATACATGTAGATCTACTCAAAAAATAATGACAGACTAGCTTAAGATCATCCTTTCTTGTAAGTAACCAACATTAAACATCCTTCAGTTATGCAATTTACATACACATCATGCAACATCAGCATACCATTAAGTCAAATTATGCCCAGTCTAACTAAAAACTGAATTGGTATCTGAACTCATCCTAAAATATGGTAGCACCATCAACATACGTATTGTAAAACTGGCGCGTCAGCTAGTTCTCCTGAACTCTAATATTTATTGTGCGCTAACTGAAAAAAGATATCAAAATGAGACTGAATAGAACACAAAATTTTCATAATTGTTTTTCATAAAATGACTGAAAATATTTTATGGGACCTTATTCAGAGTAAATTCAATTAGCCCTGTCACAAAAAGTGTGATGCTACCCTTTTGCAGGGCAAAATGATACATTTGATTGAAATACCTTAAAACAATTGTTTAATATACATTTATGTAATTTATTTAATTAATATCTTTCAACAAAATTTTTGCAAACGTAATTTATTTTCCTTGCAAAACAGTTGCCTGTTGTTATCGTGTAAGGGCTAACTCATAAAATAACATGATAAACATTTATATCTTTTCTGTTGAAATTCTACAGAGTTTATGACAGAAATAACAATAATTTATATATATAATCAATATTATCGTGGTTTTCTGGTGTTGGTTAGTTTGTTTTTTAACGAAGATCTACTGGATATGACAGGAGTTACTGTTCTTGCACTTTGAGGTACACATAAGCGGGTTTGACTTCACTGTATTACAGTGGGTGCACTTGTTTCATAAGCCAGGTCAAGCCGGTTAATATTCACGAAGCGGGCAAGTCACTTGTTTCAAATATTTTTAAGCCGCCGGGCGGTCAGAAAGTAGCCCGGATCGCCCGAAAAATTTCGAGCGGCCAAATGAAAAGCAATATGGCGGAAAACGGAGGTAGAAATGTTACTGATGGTGAAACATTCGTTTTTTATCATTTGCTGTACACCCATTCTCAATATAAGGGCTCAAATAATGTCGCCTCGTTTTCATTTAGAAGAAATACCACTGATGTAATTTTTAAATCAACATTATAAATAGTCTGTTAACAATGAATAAGAATTCATATAATTATCGATCTGAAAGGGTATTTAAGGAGTTCAAAATTCGAATATAGTAGCCTATTTGAAATGTACGTTACTGTCGCCGAGGCAAATATTATGCTGAATCCCCTCTGTGTAATATATAGTTTTGATTCTCAAGTAAAACTTTTCTGATAAGTTGAACCTTGTGTCATATATATTTCTTTTCATAACAATGAATACATTTTCTTTGTGATAATAAATAATTTTTACTGTGCTATGTCCCTGTCGCTTAATTCTATTTCAACCACATTACAAGCAAACACAAAGATTATACACCTGATAGTTTTGTTCTCCTTTATTTATTGATGGGCTAAATTTGAAATTTCAAAGGGTTAATTACTCCTACTTAGATAATGTAACATGAAATTGAACAATTTGAGCAACTTTTATAAATATGTTAAGGGAATGAAAGACATTTTCAATCGTAGAGATAAGAAAGAAATGTACGTTACCTATATTCTTCCATTAAGAATATATATTAAGTAGAAAATATGAGACGACTCTGAATAAGCAACCCCTTGTATCCTGTAAACTGGCAAAGACGTTTTGCTTAACACAATTAAAAATTATTTTTTACATAAAAAGTGATCATTTGAAATGTACGTGACTGAAATGTACGTTACCATGAAATTCGAATTAAGTGAATCTCGCATGAATTTTCGTGTATTCTCATACTTTCGCACACTCAAATGTGTACACAAAGGAAAGTTTCAAAGTTTGGAGATCGGCTAAATCCCAAAATTAATGAAAAGAAACGTTTCTGCTGAGTAAAAAAAAATATATTAAGGTCAATTATATGTAATATAATTTTGATACCTGGAATATATTTCTGAATACGAAACCTGTATGATGCATTTCTAATGATATGCAAGTTCAAATAGTATCAATATTTTGCGTGTCTAACGTACGCTTGTGGAAGAGAATTGATTTTTATATTTGAAATGTATGTTACGTATGGTAACGTACATTTTGCGCATTTCTAACTGACATTTTTTTTATTTAGTCAATGAATTGCGTTTACACGAGCGAAACAAAATTATCGTTACAATCCATTTGACAACTGACCACATAAATCCATCTTAGAAATGCACCCCAATCCTCGTAAATGTGGTAGACTGTTACCACATGCTAGAAAATTTATTTCTAAGTGTCTTAAATTCATCTTTAGCAACCTTTTTGCAGTTTGTTTACTTTTATTATGCGACTTTTCGTCAATTTTAATTTAATTGTTGTTGGTAATTTTAAACAAGGTATGCATAGGCTTATAATTGGTAAAAAAAACAAAACAAAACAAAAAGAAAAAAGAAAAAGAAACAAAACAAATAAATCCAGAACACAAGACGGTCACGTACATTTCAAATACTGAAAAGCACACAATACTCAGTTTTGTTTGAATCATTGCATTTTGGTTTATATTTTTCCAGATCTGCTGAAAAGTATGTATGCTTGTGTTTTGACAAACGATGTTGCAACATACTAAATGAAATTGTTAACAAGACTGTCGATGGATATATTCGGAATAGATTTATGTTAAGTTTCAATGGCCAAACACAAGTATTTATTAGATCATAGCAAAATACGTCTGACTCTTATTTTTTTTTGTCTGTACCCTTGCACACAGGTAGAAGTAACAAGGCTACGACCGGTGTCAATTTTAGCGAAACAGCACAAAAGAATGGTAATGAACTGAGATGGAGGGGACTACCCAATAATATGTGAAATGAACGTTACCGAAGTGACGTGACATTCATGTAGTTGATGACAAATAACCACGTTTGTTACATTATGATTTCTTATATCACTGCGTTAAAACAATTTTTATGTCAATAATTGCTTTTTTCTTTATTTTCTTATTACTAATTTACAAATTATTACAAGCTTGAAATGTACGTTACCTACTCATATTCTGAGGCAATCGTGTCTTTTATAGTTGTGATTGTGACATATAACACAATGTGATTACATAGAGAATCTTTTTTGGAATAAACTGAAACAAAACGATGAATTTTTAGATGAATTTTAAGCTTTTTATTAAACAGAAATATATCTTGAAATGTACGTTACATTTACGTAGTTGTCTAAATCGGCATGGATATATGTTAAAAAAGACAGTAACTACAAAATAGAATTTTACTACATGTACATGTGAAGTTCCACTATCTATAGAAAATGACAAGATTCCAAACTGATCGCTCTAAACAAAACAGAGAGAGAGAATTTAAAGCATATATTTAAAAAAATGTTTTCATACATCTGGATCAAAAAGTAACCTTTGTTTTTTGAAAGGAAAAATCAAACGCACGTTCGTATGCCGAGAAAATATGTTGCTGACAGAGTTGGTAGGATGTGCTGGTGTTAAGATGAGATATTCCAATTGTGATTTTAATGACTGCATTTTTTTTTACATATCTTTTTGGACATTGAAGAAAGAGTAACGTACATTTCAAGCTAAATTTCTGAATAAAATCACCCTCTACTTTACCGTCTTGTCATTATTCCATGTATTAAAATTTGATGAAAAAAAACCTGGAAACAAAATCTTCAGATACTTTCTTTCAAAGGTAATTGGTAGAAAAATTGTTATCTTGAACTTCATTTTTTAAAAAATCAGAGAGGCATTTGTGCCCTTATATTGAGAATGGGTGTGTAGACTCAGTGTCAATAAAAATACAGTACTGAGATAATAAGTGACTTTTACAACATATTTGTTTATATTTAACGACCAATACTCTTTTTTTTAATTTTAAAAATAAAGCTCAGCAGCTTTTCAGTTCTGTGGGTAACAAGGCCCTATATGCCCTAAATTTACAGATTGGACATTGAATGGATCTAGTAAATATTAAAACAAAACATATTAGGCCTAACTAAATCGTTCTCGTGCGTTTTTTAGAGAAATATTTTTACAACAACAGCACCAATACGAGCCATATCCGGCTTATTTTTCACTCGTTTCAGAGACACTAACCGGGTCAATATGTCATGTGATAAAAGTGAACCGGGTCATCGCCCGGCTGTCTGAAACAAGTGCGCCCAGAGTGTATCAAGCCTATGCTATGGAGATACATGTATGCAATGATGCATGGAATCAACATGCAGAAGAGGTTCATCTCCTTGCCCTCTTATTAGACACCAGATACTTACTTAAATAATGCAAAGAAGTTTGTTTAACTTCTGCAATTTACTTGAACTGACTGCTTCATTTTAATAAAGGGATGGAGCCGGGCCTTGACTGTGTAAAAAGCCGCCAAGTGGAAAGAGGTACTCGAACCCGATTTTAATTAACAGAAGCTTCAGAGAGGCAAGCCAGTCTATAGAGCAGCGAACCATGTATTGTCATTTAAAATGTTAATGTGCAGAATTTATATTCTTACTTACATATAAATACGAGGAACTGCAAAAGTTCTTCACACAAACTTATGAGAAAATGCAAAAATACAGCAGTCAAAGGTATATAGTCCTATAGTCAGTTATTTTTTATTTTTATTTTATTAAAACCACATGTGGCGCAAGTCATACATACAGTAAACAAATATAAAATATGTAGTCACATAGATTTTCTTATATTACATGCATCATGTATGAAGTTACAAATATTTCTTGTAGAACTAACATCTGCTGGATTAAGAATTTCATAAGATATAGGGCAAACTGACCATGGTTCGGACAGACAGAAAAATTGACCTAGGTTCGGACAACTTTACCGTTATTTTTTTCGGTTAAATAAATCTGTTTTCAGCACAATACGGAAATATATCAATCTCAGCAATAGGATTTTTTATTTAGTCAAGACCCCGTGTTTATCACGTGACTCGATAGTTGGTGGTGGCGCTACGATTTTAGGGCATGTGTAGTTTGTTTAACGTCAGTAGTTTAAGGGAAAAGTAAACAAACACTTGCAAGTAAAATCAAATGAATGAGGCTCTACTTTATTAAACCAGTATGAATTATTTCTATTGCGTTTCTAAGTGATTAATCCTTCTTATCAGCAAAAAATTGTTTCAGTTATTTTCTATATTTGTTGTGAAATCTTCCTCGAAGTCTGAAAATTAAATGTACCTAGGTTCGTACACCAGATGACCATGATTCGTACATTACTCAAACCAAAGTTCAAGCTCCTTATAATCAAATCGCCTTTAAGGGGGCCGACTATAGTTTCCATTGCGCAATATTTCGCGCATCATAGTAAAATGAAGCGTATTTACTGTTTTAATGCAATTTTTTCGCTTAATTATTAAAATTAAACAAAATTAAGAAATTATAGGTATAAAAATGTAATTACAATATGATATAACTGATTTTTTAACCGATTTTGCAATTGATAGGTAGGTTGACGTCGTTGCACATATGTGTTTCAGACGTATGATAATCTGTAGCTGTAGCTCTTAAAGAAAGGAGTAATAAAAATATTATTAAAGAGAAAGTAATAATTATCATAGGCTCTTGAAATTTAAAAAATAGAAATTTGAGAATATCTCCAAAATTTTTATTATGTTTTCAGGTGAATCCATTGTGTACGTCAATTTTTGTAATACTGTATAAAAATACTAAAATTTTCTAATTTTTTGCATTTTGAGATGCCCCCTCTGGTAACAAGACAGTAGAATTTTGTGCTTCTTTTATATATTGTATAATATAGTATTACTCATCAAATACTATAGCTTGAACAAAATGTCTGTTGTAGTATTTGTATAATTTGCTTTAAAGTGCTAAAAATTGCATTTTCCAATATAATCCTAGAGTAAATGTACCTGTATTTTGAGACGGTCCCTCAAAAATACCTGGACGGTAGATTTCCCACAAACTTCGCATGTACACTGAAGTTAATGTAAGTTATATATGGTATGAAAATGAAGAGTTTCGCTATTGTAGTTATCACACAATAAAACTATAGTCGGCCCCCTTAAAAAAAATCGGAGAGTGAATAAATTAAATGATTGATATTCAAAGCATACGGATAATGATATTGTTTTTTTTTTTTGTTTAAATCATGCTTCATGTATAGCTATAAAACAGGTATATATTTTAAATGTACATTTATGTAGTATTTTCAATCGATCAAATGAGGATGGGCTCCTCAAACATATATGATATTATTATATGCATGTATGCATTTTCAATTTTTTGATATAATAAAATTAATTATTCCAATTGATTGAGTAAATGATGTTTGATAAATTGAAATTTTAACCAATTCATTAATCATAAAAGCTATATTATTTCTAAATTTCTAGCATTTGAAACACATTCCTAAATAGCACCAAGAATTTTTGATTGGTTTAGAAATGAACAAGTGCCAGTTACATCTTTAATTAATACGTACATAGACTTCTTAATTGTAGATTTCTTTTACAATGAAATAATAATCCCTAGTTTAGAACAAAAATGGAAAACGTCATAATTAAGGGTGTATATAGTCTCTGTATATATGCACTACATGTATTTGGGTGCTAGATAACTAGTGTATTATTTGTTCAAAGCATGAGCGCAATAATCAGAAAGACATGCATTGATGCTATTGCAGTTTATGAAGATCGTGCACTGACATGCAGAAAAGATTTTATCTTCGCAGTGCGCATTCGTCATTTCTTTATTTAGAATTAAAATTAACTGAGGGTCAAGCCAACCTGCAAAAGGCGGAAGAAAGTTGAAGAAAACACCCCGAGCAAAAATAAATTGCATTTCAATTCGAACAACTTGTCGACAGCCCAAAGTATAATTTAAAACTCATTGCTTGTAATTTAAAAAAAAACATAAAAAAAGATATTTCTCATTTCTTTTATTATGGAAAAAAAAAACAAAAAAAAAAGGGATAAAGGTTATCCTGACAATAATCAGCGCAGGCACGTAGCAACCGGGAGGGGGGGGGGGGGCAACGGGGGGGGGCGGCCCCCTTTTTTTTTGCCAACAATACTTTTACTATTGAAAATGTTCGCCGAAAATGCCCCCCCCCCCCCCCTCCCCACTTTATACTAAAGTAAAGTAATATGAAGGAAATATAGTATTGTAAGCTCAAAAAATGGATTTTTAAAGGAATTGGTAGAGAAAAAAGTTTGCCTCAGTGTCAACTACTTTCAGTACCAATTCTAATACTACATTTTCGGTACATCACTGAAAGTCTAAAAGTGGGGGGGGGGGGGGGCAACCAGGCTTTCAATTAACATTTCCTATAGTATAAGTAAGGTTGGGAAAAAAAGTGGGGGGGGGGGGCAGGCATCCCCTGGCCCCCCCTGTTGCTACGCCCCTGCGATACCAAGCCCAAACTTTCCCTTGAAGACGAAAAGATTGAAGCTAACTGAGTACAGAACAAGAACTTGCAAACAAAGGAATCATATTTTCTAAAGCAGAACTATATTTGCTTTGCTGGAATATGCGGTGGTATCTGAAACAAATGGTGATTTCGAGTGAAACATGTCCATCCAAATATGCATTGAGAGAGCAAAACTAGCGAAATCAATAAAATTTAGATACAGTTAATTTTTTTTTTAATTCCACAATTTCAGTCTCGTTTTTTGGAGGAAAACTTCGACATACTTGAGGTTACGGTCGAAGAAAATGGGAGGGGTGATCAAGCAACAAAAATGGTTTCTTTAATATTATTTTTTCAGTGAGTTTTCTTTGCAAATTAATTACAGACGAACTCAAACGATTGTCAGTTGCTCGAAGCTCTCTCAGCACGTAGTTATCCGAGTTGATACCGCTGACTACGGCGATGATTTCTTACTGAAATTGAAACTGCGACATGGGCCCAAATATGACTAAACTTTTGTCAACATACGTCATTTACGACAAACTAAAACACAAAAAGAGGAAAGAGAGATAAAGGAAAAGAGTTCTAGTTTAAAATAATACTAAAAAAACAACAGATTTTTACTAGGGATGGGAGAGATATGATTAAAATCTTATTGGAGGTTTCTTATTATGTCATGCAACTCTATATGTAGTATTTGAAAGAAATCAGACATGCACGTGCTATCGATTTTGAAGGGTTTGGGAGAGAAATCAGGAAAAAATAAACAACTTATCTGATAAAACTTTGACAAGAAAAGAAAATTTAAAAAAATCAAGCAAACGAACGACCCCAAAGAAAATGGTCCAAACTCGAAAGGGGGTCAAACTTTCTTTCACTTTGAAATTTTATCAAACGCCGGAATGTATTACCAAAACACTACGATGTAACAATGCTACAACAAAAGAAGGGGGCAGACTTTCGATGAACATCTATAATGTTAAATTTCAATAGTAAAATGTTATGCTTTAGAGAGGGGGGGGCTCTCGCTACTACGAGCCTGTAAATATTGCATATCTGTTATTAAAAAAAAAATAAACATCATTTGTTTATTGTATATTATCATGTCCGAACCTTGGTCAGATACGTTCGAACCATGGTAAAAATCGCTTGATGAATTTAACTTCTAGTTGGAACAGAGGTATTTAGTGTTTTGGTGATATATTTACAATCGATAAAACCCGAAAGGTTCCAAAACACTTTCCAGTTGATAGTAAAAGTCTAGACCACTGTCATTCGGAATAACAGCTTATTGCTTGTAAGCAAAACAAGAACCGTCCGAACCATGGTCAGTTTGCCCTATATGTATTATTAAAAAGTGTACAAAATTCACTTCTTAGTTGTTTATATAGAGGACATACAAATAAAAAATGATGTTCATCTTCAACGACATTTTTACAATTAATACAAAATCTTTCATCTCTTGGTATAATTGGGTTACAATATCTGCCAACCTCTATCTGTAATTTGTGAGCACTTATTCTCAATCGAGTCAAAAAAGAACGAAGATTCTTGGAAATGGAAAAATTTAAGTATGGTTGAATTTCAAGTTTGTTTAGATTCCCTTGACTTATTAAGTTATAAGTATAGTCCATAGGCGTAGTCACGGGGGGGGGGGGGGGGCAGACCCCCCCCCCCCCCCCCCCCCCCCCACACACACACACTTTCTGATCGGGGAGGGGGCAGGATTATGTCTGTCCCCCCACTCTTTAATGAAGAACAAAATCACAGCTTTTTCCCCCCAACATTACCTTTACTATAGGAAATGTTCACTGAAGGGATAGTTGACCCCCCCCCCCCCACTTTTTGACCCTAGTATAGTTATATCGAAGAATTGTGGAAAAAAAATTGGAATTGAAAGTAACTTGCCTTTGAGAA